CTCGGGGGCTTCCCGCCCGTCCTCAGGACCGCGCTCGGAGTGAGGCGCCCCGCCGTCCAGGGGCGCCGTGCACCCAACAGGCGCTCCATCTAGGTGCGCCCGTCCCGCCCCGCCCCGCGCGGCCACCCGCGCCCGAGCCCCGCGGAGTTACCCGTCCATTACATCCAGGTGCAGATAATCGGCCCCAGAGTCCAGCATTCGGAGGCACTCGGCCCCTAAACTGGCCAGGTCGCTGTTGAGGATGGACGGCCCAATCCTGCAGCCGGACGCCATGGTGCTGGTTCCCAAGAGCAAGTTACCTCCCGAGTCCCGGGCAAGACGAAGGCGTCGCCACGATTGGCTGCCCCGTTTTGACACTGCCTTTTCCCCTTAGAGTCTTCCGGACTCTACCGGAAGCAGCTGCTGGTGAGGAGGATGTCCCGCCTTCCGCAGGGGCGGGGCTATAGCGTGACAGTATAGGGGCGGGGCCTCGCATAAAGCCCCTGCCTCTGACCTTCGTCTTTGAAACACGCCTTAGCCCTCTCAGAATTAAAGGAGTTTCTTAATGTTTTCCCGCTTTACATTCCTGTAATTTCTTTTCCTCCTTGCCCTTGCTTTACTATTGGTTTCTCCATCGTTTGTGTGCCTTCCCTTTCCTCTCCGTCTCCCGTTACCCTTAAAAAACAAACCAAAAGCCACTTCGTCCTTACAGCTCTCTCCTTGAGCTCGTCGCAGGAGCTGGAGGAGTCAGAGTTGGGGCGGAATCATAGCTCCGCCAGACACTAGCCGGGTTAGGTAAACCAAAATTACTGTTCCACTGTAATAAGGAGTAAAAGGCATGTATTTGCGTGACAGGAGTTGCAGGAGACACAGGCTCAGGTACAACCTGAATTGTGTTCCGCTGAGACAAAGGGGAGGCTGCCTGATAAAAGGAAAGTTCCTGCCCAAGTTTCCAAGTAGGCCCCTTTTATGTAAATGAGGTATCCAAATCCATGCACTTCTGATTGGTCCGAATTGTGAAGTCCTGATTGGTCAGCATTACTCATCCTGATTGGTCATTACGGGCAGTTCTGCTCTGACTGGGCGGGTCTTAGCCTATTGGTGGAAAGAGGCGGCTGCTCATAATCGCTGACTCGGCAGTTGCCTGGGCGGAGCGAGCGCAGGAGCCGGCGCCAGCCCGAGGCTCCTCCAGGTGGACGGAGAACGTGCGTCCCCGTCGGCAGGCGGCCCCTGGGCTCTCATTTCACCGACTTACGCGCGGACCATAACATACGCCAGGCCCATCCATGCTGTTGCAAGTACCGCATGATTTCACTTCTATGTGGAATCTAAAGAGCAAAATAATAAACAAAATTGAAACAGACTCCTGGATGCGGAGAGTGGGAGTGGTGGTTGCCGGAGGGGAGCAGGGTGGAGGGACTGGGTGGGAGAAGTGAAGGGATTAAGGACAGGTGGGTCGTGGGCAACCAGTCACGGGGGTGTAAGGTACAGCATAGGAAATACCGGCTGTCGTGCTGCCCGTGGCTACTGTAAATTTGGGGGGGACACTCTGTACAGTGTAGGATTGTCTAACCGCCACGATGTTCACCCGAAACCAATACAAAATTATATTGAAAGTAAACTAATTGGAAAATTAAGATACAGAAACTGCAAAATGTGGGCCCTTGGTTGACCGTGGGGAGCCCATCTCAGCAGACAAATTATTTCTTGGGGTTCACATCAAATGAATCTTTCTTCTCCTAGTCCACAGTGACCTGGACGGTCACTTCTTGCCTCACCTGTTTTCTCATCTGTTAGGACAGTGTCCAGTGTTTAGGGTTGTTGTGAAGATGAAGTAAGCAAATCCAGCACATAATGTCTGGTGTTCAGAACAAAATGATGGCGGTTATCAGGACCACTCTTGCCTCATGCCTCTCATATTCTTGGTTTTTCCCTCTCGGGAATACTCCTTGACAAATTGCAATCTGTTTATTTACTGTTCAGACACAATTGAGATATGAGAGTGTCTATTCTTCTGCCAAGTGTGTCTAGAGTCTTTGGGTCAGGAAAAGACAGGAAATACAACCATGTGAGGAAAAAAAATGGATTTAGCAAGAACGTACCTTAGAGGGTAAAGATAGGGCACTTTGTACTCTGTATAAAAGGCAGACTGGTAGTAACTTGAACCTCATGGTGGTTCTGGCCACATTCAGAGGACAACCAGGTCCTCAACATTCCTCCTGGGAAATCTACCAGTCATTCCAGGTCATCACCTGGGGTATCTGTCTCCCAGTGTGCCCATTCTGCTTTATTTTGAAAGTTAAGGGTGGAATGTATGAGTAGAATGGAGCTCAGATGGGGTTGGAGGAGAGACATCAAGGCACACTATAGGGATCCAAAAGGAATACTTTCCTGAATGAGTTAAACAATTCTCTATGTTAAAAAATGAAACAATCAGTCATCTTAAATGTTTTTAGATTTACTTTATTATATATGTGCATATTCAAACACAGAAGTCTTAATATCTTTCATAAATATCTTCCATAAACATTTCAGTATTTATTCATATGCATTTTTTCCATGCTCTTTGGTCATCCAGTATTCATAAGAGACTTCTTAGTCATCTGAGGGAAGTTGGTTGTATAATCAATAATTTGTTTTTTACCTATAAAATGGCTAGTAAAGGATTTTTATCCTTCGGTCACAGTGACTATTGAAAATATTATGGAGGTACATTGATCTGTAATGCTAAGTGATCTTAAAATGACATAAGTAAATTTGCCTTAAGCTTTTCCAAATATATTCTACCCTTAACTTGTTTTTATTGTCCTGAGTGTCAAACCAAACTCTGTTTCTGAATTGCTGCAGTTGAGGCCCACTAAAGTAAATGAGGAAGTGGGGTTTTCTACTCACTGCCAAGGACAAACCATGGAATGAGAAATGTGAGGTCACAGGCCACAGCAAGACTCAGTGTGATAGCAGCAAGTTCCAGAGACTATTAAAGTATCTGGTATAACTTGAGGAAGGGTACTTGTGTTTTAGACTGTAATTCTGTTTCTGACCCTTTCTTTCCTGAAGGTCCCTATACATACCCTATTCTCATCGCAGATACTCTTGGAGTTGGACAGTGCAGTGGAGAATGTCCTTCCGTGGCTAAAGGGATAGATACTAAAGAAGGGAGGAGATGTCACACTGCCTTAGGCACTCTTGGAGGCCTGGAATAGGAAACCAGCTACTTACAACCTGTTCAACAGGCTCTGAGCAGACCCCCAAACATCACAGATTGTTTTCCCCAGCACTGCCATGTCCAATTATGCCTTTTGACACTAGTTCCCAGTGCCTTGTTCCAATGCACTCAACAACTCAGTTTCCTTTTTTCTTTTTTTGGAAAAAATTGAATAGTTTATCTAATAGAATTCTAGAAAGCAGCAAATGTTGAAAAAGGAAAGTAAAATGTTTTGCTATAGAAAATGCTGTACCCAGGATTTGAACTGCTTTAATTGAAACTGAGTAGTATGAATCTATACCTACTATCATGGATGATACGTGTTTATTCCAATTTCTCTCAAAAGTGAATTTCTGAAAAAGCAACCTCTCGGTTAAGTCCAATATTTTTATAGGTGGGAAGTAGGTGCCTGTTTTAATTTTCCTCTAAACAAGATAAATATCATTAAGCATTGTAGCTTAAGAAATGATCTAGTATTATCAATACTGCATTTATCATATATAATGATTTTTAGTCATATACTCAATAATATTTTGAACACTGCAAAAAATTGCTAATTATCTTAAATGTTTTTCTAATCTTCCACTACTATTTTTTTAAATATTCCTTCAAACTCCAGGTAACAGTATTCCTGAGAATACATCTTGTGAAAATCTTATGCACATACACATAGGTACTTTATCAATTGCACATAAACATTCAACACATTACATTCAACACATTTAAGGGCACCTTCAATGGAACAGATGCAGACATCTGCAAAATCTCAGCAGTCCCAGTATGAAAACATTCCCACTCTACAAGGTCCTGCTTCTCGGAGTGGAGGCTTTTTTTTTTTTTTGCAAGGTACAACAATACTTAGCTTATTGGAAAAGTTTCCAACAGACTTCCATAACACCAGAGTGAAGGCGTCAGGCTAAAAGGCAGACAGGTCAGCATAATCATGTTCAATACCTTTTACATATAAAGGTATTTAGGATTCTTAGGAGATATTACACAATCTTCTTTGACCCCTTTACTTTTTAAATATTTTATACAATTACACATAGAGAATTTGAATCAAAAATCAAGTAACTGGAACAAAACACAGACATATAGAGACTTATATAGCTCAGACTCTTGTAATTACCAAACATAAGGCCTCTAACACTAATTGAGCAGCATAATTTTTAACAGGCAGAATACATCAGCTTAGAAAGAATCATAAAACCACTTACAGGTATATTTCTGCACTTGGGAATTAATTCAGCATTAAGTGTCAATGTTCTGAAAATATTGTAAAACATAAAAGAAGCTTCTACTTTCTAAAGCTGTTTTCTGAAGCTTTAGGTTTGAAATTTTTTGTTTTGTCCATTATCTTTAACTCACAGCTATCTTTCATTCTCATAGTAAATGGGACCAAAACCCCAAATTATATTTGAAAGTACAAATCACAATATAAGCAATGCCTATTTAATAAACGGTTCTAACAGAAAAATAATTTTCCTTTGTGATTTCAGTGGGTTTAGTAGGTCTTCTCTATATATACGTATACTTTTCATAGTCAACATAGTCAGTTTAAGCATATAGAATGTGTTCTGAATTCATTGCAATGCAATCAAAATCTGTATTTAACTTCAACTGGAGGACTAGAAAACACACACACACTCACACACCACCACCATACCAATTTAGATATGTAAATGAGCTTTTATATGCTTAGTAGTTCTATAGCAGTTTTCTAATGTAAAGTGTTAAAGTTTTGAAATTCAGTTTTGAACTATATTATACTAAGCCCTATTATAGTATCAATAACACACTAGGTATGGCCTCATAAGCCTTTTAAGTTTTATGCTTTTCTTGAGTAACTGAACTTCAAGTTAAAATAAAATTCACAAGCTGACTTTGTCTATGAAGAGATTGCTCACGTTATGTATTTTTTCTCATAAACTCAAATGTCTAAAGGATCATAAGAATATTGTTAGCATTGAGAAGTTATTTTAGTGAACCTATTCTAACAACAATAACTTTAATATCTGAAAATGCGCCCTGGAGGGCAGGCACTACTGTAAGGAAAGTGATCACATTTTCCAATATCTCCTAATCCTGGCATTGATGTAGTCAGGGCTAGAAGTAGGAATATCATCTCTTTCTAGTGATCATATTTACATTTAGTTTTATTGTCATATAGGTTAAGTTCTTCTTAATTCAGAATTAAGTCTGATAATTTCTAGAATATTCTCTCTAATGTGATTATGAATGGAATGATATTATGGCATTAGCAATCTGATTTACAACATGCAATAAAAATGATGGTTGAAAAATAAATATGGAAAAGTCCACAGCTCTAAAAATAGTGTTTTTTCCTTCTTTTAAATGGCTGTATTGTTGATCAAAACAAAAATGGCTGCGGGCTTATTCATTATTTAGTTTTCCCCAAACTAATATTTTCCTTATTTATTATTTTTATGTAAATTTCTACTTGTACGAAATTTCTACCTGATTTAATATTTTTGAAACTATAAAAATAAACATTTGCATGAAATGTATGATGTGGATAACCTCAAAAAATTGTATTCTCTTTTAGAACATATTATTTGCTAATATTCCAGGTAAGCAGCTCTGTAACAGTATATGTTTGTAACTGCTCAGGCCTTCTTGAATCATAAACAGTGTGCAAATGGCTCTTTCCCCTTATTCCTCTCTGGTTTTTATGATCTTCACACAATTAAATAATCTTAGCCATTGATTTTTAAAAGATGATTATGAAACAATAGGCGCACTGGCGGCAAAATCTACTGAGATTTATGTCACCTATTGGCTATAAAGTGCTGTTTTTTCATCTTTTTCAAGCAAGAGTATTCAACTTTTAGCAAAGTGACCCCTCCCACATTTCATCTACACCTGCAACTCTTACACGATACAGAACTAAACATGTGACTCATCTAGGTCTACACCAGTCTCCCCCAGCTCCGTGGGAGTAAAAGGGAACTGGCTGGACAGCAGGGGGTTCTCCATGCCATTTTCTTCACTGATGTGAAGGACAGTGTCTCCGTGCTGCAGGAGGATGGATGTCTCAAGGCCTGTGAAGTCATCAGGGTCTGAGATTTGAGTCGAGAGGGGGCCGTGTGCCGCAGCACCCTGCACTTCTGGGTCTTCCTTCTTTTCTCCTTCCTCAGCAGGGAGAGTCTCACTCTGTGATCAAAAGGTCCGTAATGTCAGGGAAAGTCAGAATGGGTGCTCAGGAGGAGTATCAAAAATGTTGTCCGGCCTTAACAGGACAGGGAATTTCAAGGCTAGTCCCAGTGCTAGCCTTTGTTACGTGTGAGACCCTTCCTTCTTTCTAAGCCTCAGTTTTCCAGCCTGTTGCGTGAGCATAATTTTTGCCGTTTACCTTGTAGACTGTAAAGATAAATGAAATCATGGTGCTGCAGTGTTCTTTAACCATTAAAGACTGCACAAGGGTATACAGTAATAATATTACCCCTTAGCTTTCTTTAGATACACATGAGAAGAAACTGAAATTCATTTATAAAAATCAAAAGAAGGAAAACATCAAAACAATGAGGAAAAAGAAGGCTCTATATTTAAAGGCTGCATGTGAATTGGTAACTTCTAAAAAACTGAACTGTCTTTATATTATATATGGTTTTCAATGGTTATTTTAGCTGTGTAATATTTTCTCTTAGGTTTATCATAATAAAGAATACCAAGACTTCTCTTATTGCTCCTTAAGTAAATATATTCATGGCCATCTACCCGATACAGACTTTCTGTTTCATGATGATAGGACCATTGTCTGCCTGGCTAACAAAATGTTACAGACCCAGACTTAAATTATATGAAATAAATTTGCATATCCAAGTAGTTCCTAGACAGAAGTATGCGGGGAGCAAGCCTTGCCTGTTTCTCTGGCGCCCTCACCTGCTTGGGAGACAGGCTATGAAGATCAGCAACAACAATGGCCGGGGAAGACGTGAGGACTGGTTTGTCCATTCCTTCTGGTTTCCCAGATGGAGCTGGGCTGCAGCCTGGTGGCTGGACTGTGGCAGGAAGTGTGTCTGTTGGGGCGCCTGCAGGCTCTGGCTGAGCCTCAATGAAGGTCACAGATCGTTTCTGATCCGCTGCAGGTCAGAAGTAAAGCAGTAAATAGAGGGGAAATACGTAGTCAGTGCTTAATTTGCGTTAACCAGTGTCTCCTGTCTTTTCTTAGTAAAAACATTGCTGGTTTATTAATAAATGAAAGCATACTTGACTATTATGTATATATTTTGATTTCATCTTCTTATAAAAAGTAGGATTTGGGTAGAAAAATCATTTTTACATAAACGGCCTAAAAACAGGATTTGCATAGAGCATTAGGTGAACATGATATCACTCACAACAATTGTCAACAGGACTTAAAAGTCCCCATTATCGATCATTTCTTTGTCTTCAATAAGATGTATAACAAACCCAGTCCCTGGCTCAGGTAAAGAAAACACAACCTTCTGTAGTCAAATCTCATAGCATTTATAGTTTACCTTGGACTTTTCCATTTCTTTAGGTTCTTGAGGGTAGGGATGGGGGTTGGGAAAGGTGAGAAGAAAAAAAGGCACTAAAATTTTCTGGGAAACTTCTTCCCTGATCCTAGTGTCTTCCCAAAGTGGTGCTTGTCTGCATGAGTTTCTGCGGGCTTACCCGGGTGAGTTGTGTCAATGGTATAATCAGAAGGGACACAGGAGGCCTCACCAGACGGCTTCGTTTTAGGTTGAATGCTCCTCCGGGTGGTTGACAGCCGAGCCCCATGGCGGTTTTTGGAGTCAGTCTGAGTCTTCTGACGTGACAGTAGAGGACGTCTTAGCTAAAGAAAAAATGGACAGAATGAAGCTGCTAAGAAGGGTCTAACTGCCGGGGAGAAAACAGTGTGCTCCGAGGATTCTGACTATGGTTTATTCCTTACGTTGTGGTCTCTGCGCACTCATGGTTGTTCCTTGCGTTTGTAGCTGGGAAACTTCTTTCTGTATGTTTGACTACAAGTATTTGATTCTGGCATCCCCTTTAAACGATTCTATCTCCTAATTAGTACTCCTTTGTATATCCTAAGAACACTAATATAATTTAAAATACCCAACGGGAGAATTTCAGTGAATTTTAGGATACAAAACTAATAATTCTTGCTTACAGATCGGTCTTTGTTCATCTAAAAGTTGCAGTTGAACATATGCAACCTCTCAAAAGGAGGTTGATGCAAAAAACCTCAGATATTGGAGAAGTGTCTGGTGCCCAAATCAATGCTGGGATGCTCCCACCAAAGTAACAGTGCAAAGTCTCGTTTCAGTTTTCATTTAGAGAGTAATGTAAAGGTAACTCGCCTAAGGAAATTCGTAAAGATCATTTTTACTTTGGTTTCAGTTTAACTTGTATCATTCATCTTGAAATGAGGAAGGAAAGACAACCGTGTCTATGCCTCTCTACGAAAATCAACTTTATTCCAAATCTTCCGGGGTCATGAGTTTGGCTGGGAAAAGAAGTTTCTGCGTAGGGAATAAATAGAAGGGTAGGCCCACTCACTCCACTAAGTAATCAGCATTGCTGATGAGCTAAGAGAGAAGCTAAAATCTCTCAGATGGCTCAAGCACTTACCGTGTTTTAAATTTGCTCTGGTCTGCTTATGTCGGGTGGCAAGAAGGCAAAATATAATCTTAATATGCACAGACATTCAGAATTGAGTAGAGCCCCCATTTCCTGGGTGGCCCCCTGCCCGTCCCGGGTCTGCTTACCTGCCTCAGGCCCCTCTTCCTCCCCAGCGGCTGCTGAATGAGGAGGTTCTGTTGGCCAGGTTCGCTCTGCACGCTTGCCACCCTGTCAAGCACCAACAGTGTCAGTGTATCTGGAGACAGCACAGAAGACCATCCTTGGGTGGGTGTGAGCCCAAACCACTTACATGAAACAGTCACTTCAAAGATACCATGATCTTTGAAGGAAGTTTGGGAACGAACCCCTGAGATGGGAGTTTTCAAAGGCTTGGGAGGGAAGACGAGGCCTTGTAGCCCCAAGCTGCCAAAATTGAGATTCTCTTTTCAATCACGGATGCCATATCTATCATTCAGCAAAACATCGGTTCGATCACACCCCTGGTTTGGAAACCACCAAAAGGTTCAAGATGTCATATTCTAATCTCAATTTTTTTCCCCAGGGGAGGGATAAAGGTGGTGACAAACAAACACAAACAACTCTACCACATGGATGGGAACACCTTTTTGAAAATTTCAATTTAAATGAAAGTAAGATGGACGAATATCAAACACATCAGACACAGAATTCATTTGGGTGAAGGGGTACATTCAACACATGTTTGCAGCCTGAAGTCTCTGTGACTACTGAGTAAACAAATAGTCACATGGGTAGACAAGTGTTTTTTAAAAAATTGGTTTTAGATTTAAAAGGCTGGCAAAGTAATCTGTCAGTAAAACTCAGAGGAGAAATTATTAATGTCAAGTAGCTGCACTCAGACATATCATGCAGTTTATAAAAGCAACAACCTGCTCCCCCCAAATTTGCTGTGTATGTGTGTATTTTATATGCAGAAATGACTACTGGCAGTGGTCACTATTTTAGTGTTGGGTGAAGCTGGAAAAACTGTCATGGGCCCATGATCCCTTATCATTCTGCATGCATGTATAATAGGTGTTTATAATGGCAGTGGGGGTGAAAAAAGGAAATGTATTATGCCCCAGAGAACGTTGTAATCCTGTGGATGATGCCAATGTGATTATTTGGTTTATGGGTAATTAATTCCTGCTTTGCCTTTGCAAAAGGAGAGTCATCTAGAAATAGTTTTTAGAGTAAAATACTCCACAGAGGAATCCAGAGTCAGCAACTGTCCGGGAAAAAGAGAGAGAGACTATATTCATTCATTTTCATTTTAATGAGCTATCTAAATGCCCAGCAACCGTTGTAAGGAGAGAAATTGGTATCTAGATGGATAGTCAGATGTTTCCCCTGTTGTATTAACAACTAGTTAATCATGACTTGGTCGACACAGGAACATCTGTCACTTTAAAAAAGTCTTATATTTCCACTAGAAGAAAACCAATGATTCCCAAATGGAGTTTATCAAAGCTTTTATGAAGTAAGGATGTAATTATATCATAATTAGACCATTTGGGATAGATAATGCAAAGTTCTGTAAGGAGTACCCCAAACAGATGTTTTTAGAACTTTCTTATTCTCCTAAATATCAAGTCCAAAAGAGCAGTGTACATTACTTTTATACATATATGACCTTGTACCATAATTATGATCTTGCTATGAAAGACAGAAGATCACCCCAAAGGAACAATGCAGTCAATTCTGAAAAGCAGTCCAGACTACGTTGCTGGCATGTTTGAAATGACATCTCCTTATTAATTATACATTTTAACATGTGTCTTAAGTTGGAAAGAGTATTCAATTACCACATGCGCAAAAGTAGAAACAAGTTTCTCCCAAATACCAAGCAAAGCTTTCATTGGAATGGAGCCTTCATTGACATCCAAACGTTCCCTCAGTTCCCTCAGCCATAAAGGGAGGTGAGTACTTACCACCTGCCTCCCGGGAAGGCAGAGAAAAGGTTAGCTGATGTAAGATGGCTTGAGCATGAAGAGGAATGTGTACAGCATGCTTCCTTGTTTTACATTTGATATCTGTAGTGAGTTTATTGCTTTTAGAACACTAAAAGGGAGTGGGCAATCAAATGTTTTGATAATAATTGGGCAGAGAAAATGAAATCGAGGCAGTCCACTTGTCTCTTTTCATTCAGTAATCTGAGAGTGTGAGGGAAAAATGGCGCAAGAAAAGAAATACACATCACTCAGAGAGTGTCAAATGTCAAAACGTAATGGTAATTTCATGATGATAATTCCAAGGGAGGATCGTAATAAGCATCAACATTTTCTCTGTGGATAGAGAGGCGTCTTTCTAAGAAATAGAAAGTAGCTGTTCTATGTAAATGATGTAGCATTTCATCCATGGAATGCGCACATCAAAGGTGAATTTGTAGAGCATATCCTTGGAGGAATATCCCAGCTAAATTCTCCCTAAAAATGTAATGCTAACATGTTTATGTCTGGGACAGCAAAGTCTGGCTTAACTGTGCGCAGTTAGGAGAAGTTAATAATAAAAATTACTTATGTAGAACATGTTTCTGTTTTGGGGTCTGTGTCAAATTGGAGTCCCATATAAAACGTAGTCCAATTTAGCTTCTTTCCACATGGTGTACTCTTTCAGTCATCTGTAGGATTTTCTATGTGTGACCATACGTGTGTGATACTAAAACTAACCAGGAAAAGACCAAGGTGTTGGCCCTAGGCACCTCTCCATAGAAAACCGGTCTCCTGAAATTTTTAATCTTGGGAATGAGAAATGGCTGATTTCTACTGTTTTCCTAAATAAAAGGGCAACACAATAAAGGTAGTAGCAAATAAAACTTTCTAAGTCGAAGCTAAAATCATCCTTTGTATTTTTAGTCACTGAAAACATCACAGTGGGAAACCATAGCACGATCTGGATTTTAGAGAAGCCAATGCTTGGGGCTTAGCAGAACTGGTGAGACTCAACTGTGTACAAAAAACAAAGACATCTTCCTCAAAATGGAAGGAAGGCATTTATAAGCTAGGGAAATTTAGATAATGTTAGAAGGACAATTTTGGCACAGAGTACCTCTTTTCCCTTGTTTCAGCATGATGGCTGGATTGTAGTGTGTAAATATATATGTATTCTCTAATGAGATATATACCTAATGGTATTTCTTAAAAGATAGGCAAACAAGGGGCCATTCAGTAATAAAATAAAAATTCTTATCACTCATCTCAAATTACCAAAAAGTTTATGGATTGAAATATATTCTATAAATTAAAATTTTAAGTGGAAACCCTGGGTGAGGAGACTGGCACATAGAAAATGAAGTATTTTTATTGCTTTAATCTGAATTTGTAGTTTCAGTTTTAATGTGGTTAGAGAAATCTAGAGGTGGAACACAGAGTATAGCCATTTACTCTGAAGAATTGCCCTGGGGATGAATAAAATCAGCCCCAAGGAGCCATAAAGCACTTGCAGAGGACAGGGACTTCAAGAATAAACAAAATCCTGCTTTTCCCTTTCCAGTAAAATATTATTGCTTAAAATTTACTCAGCCTCCACAACATCCAAGAAAATGTGTTTTAAATACTATAGAACTTAGAGATTAGAGGCTTGAATCAGATTAAAAAGAGAGAATAATTTGGATCTTAGACGTCACACAAGAACTGATCTAGCAGTGACAAAGTCTGTATCTGTATATCACACACACATTTTCTTGGTCATTAATTCTCAGCTACATAAGAAGGTGGTTTTAAGTTTTTTCTTTATACTTTGAAAATTTGGATGACCATGAGATGGGTCTACTAAATAGGTTATTTTTATTTTGTCTCACCCAGACTATAGATCTTGTTCAAACTTGAACTACATTCTTATTTTCCACTGTGATTAAAATTATCCTTATGGAATTAAATAGTGTAAAGTCTTTTTTAAAAAAATTTGAGTTAATTATCAATTCCTGCCTTTTAAAATCTTCTAATATGTCCAAACAAAATCTAATTCTCAAGTATAAACATCCAGGCTTGAGTGCTTGACTATTTTTCTGGAGAGGGAACTATGGTCCATGGTGTGTGTATTTGGGGGTGGGCACAGGGAGGGAACATTCCCAGTGAATTTCTATACCTCTAAGAGCAACATTCTTATCAGAAGAGAATTCTTCCATGGAATATGATTTCAATTTATTAATTTCTAAAAATAAGGAATCTTTTCTCCATAGAATAATGCTTCTAACAGGTTGATATTTCTAGTCATGAATCTTTAAAAGAAGTCAGCTAGCACAGGTTTAAAAAAAAATCTTAGAACTTTTCAAAAAGTCTGCAAAATTGTTATTTTTTTCCATCTCTTCATCAGGTTATCTTGGCCTCTTCCTCATTTAGCCCTCAGATGACCTTGCTCATTTTGCCTAAAACAAGTGCTCTTTCAAAAGCAAATCCCCAGAAAATTAACCAAAATATGGGGACTGTAGGAAGGAACTGGCTTTATGACTCTCCCTTAGACATGCTTCCTGCTATTCTTTAAGCTTTGGTGCTAGACTTTCCTTACAACTACTTTGGGTGTGTTTTTTATCCTGAGTGCTCAGGTGTGTGCCAAACGTGATTTAAGACTTTAAGAGTCTGCAGCTTAGAGAAGTTTCATGCCCCAAATAAGAAGGCTGCAAACCAACTATAACAAGTGTATATCCTGTTTTATCCCACCTCTTAGTAAATGCCAAAAGTTCCTCTCCTCCAAAGAGAACTTGATGACATGATGAAGTTCAAGAGATACGACTTGCAGTGTATGGCAAAGGTGGGTGTGCTGCCGGCTGGTGGAAGGCCTCTGCTTTAATAGAATTAGTTAGCATCTAGAAGGAATGCCTCATCTTCCAGTTTCTTAAGGACCAAAACTGAATCGGAGTGACTAGGTTGCACCCAGAACTAAAACACATGGGCTATGAGAACAGATCAACAATAGTTGGCCTAAAGCAACCATCAAAGTCCCAGCATGACGGCTAATTCAGTTGTAGATAACATCTACAGCTTTGGCTTTGAGCCAATCTCATGTAGCAAGAATGTGGGTTTATTCCTATGGACACTGGACCTGGGGCAGATTGGATTGGGTTAGAGAACTCCAAATCAGTCATTTGAACCCTGATCCTGCCAGAGAGGGCCAAATGTGTCCGAGAGTTTACAGCAAGCCATTCAAATCCCTGTCTTCTCTCACCAACCCTGGACTAGTACTTTATTTAACAGGAGTAGCATTTGGCCTAATTAGAAAAGCCCTCAAAGTTGGCCAAGTGGAAGGCTAATTTAACACTTTCTCTTCTCAAGAGGCCACTGACATTATCTTCTAATCTAAGTTCTCCTGTCTGATGTGTAATATGAAGCATTTAAGAAATGCATTCTTTGAAGGCAGTGGCCACGGTGCTAGACATGGTTCTGATCTCTTCAAATGCTGTGAACAATGAAGGGAAACCGTCTTGAGGACTGTTTGGTTTTTGCTCATCCCCAAAGCTCTTGATAGTGGAATTAAGTCTGCACTGTGTGGCAGGTCCAGATTTACCACCTATAAGAGACTGATCTGTCAAGGCAAGGGCTCGCAAACACAAATGAATGTCATGAATTATGGGTCCAGTAAAAAAAAAAAAAAAAAAAAAAGATACACCTGATGATGGATAAAATTTCTCATTTTCAATTGTAGAAGAAAATGTGAAATCTGTACAAGATGCAAAGAAAAACAAAGGACAACCTGTCACGGAACGGCCTCTCAACATTTCCTCATCTTTGTGATAAAGCAATAAACACAGGTAGATTGTACTCACTCGGTAATGCAAACCTGAAAGGGAATGTTTTCTCTGGAGATGGAACAAAGGCCTTCTTAGAATGAACAAGAAGCATTTCCCTTAATGAGGATTAGTTGAGAGGTGTGAATCAACAGCACAAGATTAGGAATGTTTGACGTGGTATATCTGAGTGTTAAAGGTGCAGTTCCCCTTTCCGAAGCTTTAAACCAATAGCCAAGACTTTATATTGTTTGCGCCATAAACTTCTCTTACTTACCAAGAAATGTTTGTGTCTGCTATTTCATGGCAAGTTCTGGAGTCATCTTTGTGCTGAGACAGACATTCTTTACATAAGTGTTGTTTGAGCAAGCTGCTCTAATAGCCTAAGCATGCATGCATCCAAGAGAGGGAATTACATAAGTTGTATCTACATTGCTACTCTTGGTATGACATCATTATCTTCTTACCATCCATGGTATTAGCTAAAAGACCTGTCTTGGTTGAAAAAGGGGTTCCTGATGATGGAGAGTTGTATTGGCTGGCTTCTGAACAACATTTCTTAAGGAATATGAGTGTGAGAAGGAATGGTTAGATGGCATAAATTTAATATTTGGCATATCGAACATTTTAGATGTCCATGGGGCAAGCCCCTGAAAGAACTCCATAGATTTTTCTTTTTTAGTAAGCTTTTGAGGCCATTTGTGATTGGGCTCTGTAGCTGAAGGGGCTACACCTTTGACTTCCAGGCTTGTGTGTTCATGAGCAACAAAGGGCAAGAAATGGAAATAGATATCAAGACGGGCTAGAGGAGACAGAGAGACGGAGGAGACAGGGAACAGCTAGTTTCCCAGCACAGACACCAATAGACAGGTAGCATTGACACTGTACCTAGAGAGGCTGCCTTCGGCGGCCAGGCCCTGGGAGTCATCGAGGACATTAGGTTCACTGCAGGAGGGGTAGGGAGATGAAGCATTTAGGGAAAGAAAATGCAAACAAATAAAAGAAAAAAGGAAAAAAGGCATGCAATTTTCTGCTTCCAAGAACTAAAAATAATAAATTTAACAGAACAAGGAAGGGAAAGGGCAGTCAACCATTTCACCTTGTGCTGGGTTTGTCAAGACATAGGACTCGAGGCAACGGGGGAGGAGGGACTTCGGATGAAGACGACTCTCAGAGGGGTTATTTACTTATTGGTCAAGAGTTGGGACTTAAAATGAGCTCCAAATAAAAGCATGAGCTCTGAAACACTTTGCAGAATGAGTTTGTACAAGATGAAACTATCATTCCTTCGGTAACCATTTGGCTGGGTGGTTTTTATTTTTAATCTGTCGTGTGTACGTGTTGTTTCATTGACCAGGATCCTGCTTCTTTCTTGTGTGCTGTGACATGATCACACAGAAACCACTTACCATAAACGTCCACAGTCAAACTCTTGGGACTGATGCCATTAAGAAAAGCAAAGAAAGAACCCAACTTCTGCTGCTAATTTTGCAATGAAAATGCAAGCAGACAAGTGGAAGAAAGGTAACCCTGAACCGTGCACATGGAACTGCATTTACCTCCTTCCCCCGTCCTCTAGTGACTGAATCGTAAACGGCAAAGAAGAAATCTGTCAGCTTGGTGAAAGAAGGAGTATAGAGTTTATTGATTTATTTGGATGCAGCTGATTTGGGGATTTGTGAACAGAAACTGGGTCTTACTTTATCTTTCTTTCCTTCCCTGCCTAGCACTGAGCTAATAAGCACCCACAAGGCACTCAATAAATACTTGTTAAACCATTTAGAAAACTGGAAAACTGGAGTGCCTGCCTCCAAAGAATCGTTTAATCTAGGACACTGTGTAAATAGCCTCTGTGCCCAGGAAGAGCCCCCTCTCCCTAATGTACATAGACGTTATCACCTCCACTAGCCTTCTAAAACATGACTCAAGCTCAAAGGGTTTCATTAGATTATTTTTCTGGATTTCTAGTATATCCCTAATAAAACAAATTTTCTCCCCGGAAAGGAGTTGACCCCTTAATAGATAAGTACGAGGGGAGTTTATGACCTGGTTATCTTAGGTAAATAACAACAACAAAAACCTCTATCGTAAATTCCTACAATCCCCTAATTTAAATAAAACTTAAAAGTAAACTGATAGTTTTCTTTTGTTCCTGATGGAACCTTGCACATTGCTAACAATTAAAAATTTTGAGAGTTACTAATAACTGCTTATATGACTTTCTGTCTTGTTTTAGGGCATTTTTATATTTTGGCTCTGATTTTGTTCACATATCTTATCGTAAGACTTCCTTTTCAAAGGTAAATTACCAATGATAGATAAAACAATCTCTTACAATAACAGTAACCCTTATATATTATCAATTTTTGTAATAAATAGTACATAAAATACTGCTTTCTTTACAAGTATACAATTTACTTATTAATCTTTTATCATTTCCCCCTATGTTTTGATATTGTTCAAAGTTAGGCTTTATTTCACAGATTTTATTTCATCTGTATAGTTCATGAACTATTTGTATTTGCTAAAGGATTTGGTACAGGATAATTATTTCTGTGTATAAAGTGATTTTATTGGGACATTAAAATGTCCCCCGATTTTTATTATTTTTCACGTATGAATTATACCACATTGAATCTATGGGTATTAAAAATAAACTGCAACCAGAAGAAAACACATGAATAAGGCCAATACTTGGAAATAATTCAGCTCGTTGAGTAAAAATATCATTGGCTCTGAAATAGACGTTTTGACTCTTACATCAGATTGTTTTCTATGTATAAAGGAAGTTTTTAATGTATACTCTTAGGAAGCAAAAATACCAAACAAGACGTTTTAAAGGGTTTAGTCATGGAACCACTGAACTATAGAGAAGTTACTTAACAAATGTTTTAGCCAACCTCCTCATTTTGCAGAGGAGAAAACTGTGGGCTCTTGTTAAATGACCTGTCCAAGGTCACACATAGTAGCATAAATTCTTTTCTGCTTAGTTAAGCATCACTACCTCCAACTAAATACAGATGACATACTGGAAGTCTAAACTCTACCAAACGTATCAAGCTAGCCCTATACACTTGCCAGGCACTCATTATTAGCGTAGCTAATTATATATCTGAAAGATGAGAATGTCATTTGAAAGAAGACCACGTATCTATTTATGGAAATTTTTTCAAGGAGAAAGGATGCATGGATCAGAAATTGAAATCCCTTCTTCAGGCCTGGCTTAGAAAACTCTCTGCTAATTGCTGCCTGTACAACCCTCGTTGAAAAGTCTTTTGTTGAATGGTCTACATAAAAACACTGACTGTTTGCTTCCCTTTCAGCCTTTTCAGAATAACAGGAGTGAATATTCAGAATTTCTACCTTTCCCTCAAATGCAGAGTATAAGATATCCATGGCTCTTTACCTTTGGCTGGGTAGCATGCCCACCTCGGCCTGAGGTGCAGACATGCTAGAGACGTGGCTGGAGAACCTCCTCCTTCCAATGGCGCTCAGGAGGTAAGCTTCTTGTTCACTTACCACACTGGGCATGCTCACAGAGTCATCTGAAAGAGGCAGGAGAGTGCGGTGTTATAAAACCATGACCCTGATCAGAAAACCCAAACCAAATTTGCATGTGGGTTCCATCCTTGGCATGAAGACAACCTTACGATGTTCTCTAAAGCTAAATTATCATTTGTCCCTTTGTACAGATTAAGTATAGTGTGGTGAAGTNCAAACCAAATTTGCATGTGGGTTCCATCCTTGGCATGAAGACAACCTTACGATGTTCTCTAAAGCTAAATTATCATTTGTCCCTTTGTACAGATTTAGTGTGGTGAAGGCCTGGGGTCCAGGTTTGGGTGCGGGATAGAAGGGGTCAATGGGGAAAAAAGGGGACATCTATAATACTCTCAACAATAAAGATAAATTAAAAAAACTGAACTAAACTAAGACCTTAGGGGGTCTTAAGAAACTTTTCCCTATTTGTATAAAAACAGGCTTCAACAGTTTCGCCTCTAGAGTTACTGAACATTGTCACCTTGAGAATGGAAATAGAACTGCAAGTTAAAGTGACTGCTTCCTTCCTTTGGGTGAGGAAAACAGCTGCAATAAACCTATATAAAAGTATCTCCATCTTAGAAACAGAAAAGACCTTTAGGTTCTTAGTTTTTAATTTGTACAAAGGGACGAATAACAATTCTTCACATCCACACATCTCCCACTCTTGAAGAGTCTTCATGAAATACACTTCTTGTCCATTTTTACAAGTAGATTATTTGTGAAAGTCAAGGGGCATCTGCAAATTAAAGATTTCAGAAAAGATGGACTATAATTTTTTAAACATCAGAATTAGTTCAATAAGGGCCTTTGTAATTGAAAGAGTCAAGTACATCTCATTGATAGTCAAACACTACATTCAGTACATTTAATGATTTTTTAAACTGATGAGGGAAAGATTACTTCAGATATTTTTTTGAAAAAATGATTTTGAAAACCTAAAAGTCCATAAATAAATGCTCATTTTAACCTAAATTTTAAGTTTTAAGCATGTAGTCTTGTTTTCTCCATAAAAGCAGAAATCAGTGTATTCAAATCCATATGAAAGTTAACTTTAGCACAGTATTTATGAGAAAGTGACCTGATTCTAAGTGAGCTAATGTTTGTCACTGGACAGTAAACATATTTTGTTTAACATAGGCTTTGGTGAACTTTTGCTACCATCTAAGGTCATCTGACATCATTTATTTAAAATACCGTAAGTGGTCATACTTCTAATGAAACTTATCTTTAACCAAGACAGTGAATACGAAAAGTGCTAGATGTTTAAGTTTGCTATATAATGACTTTGAAGTTGATTCTGGTTTAGGTGCGTGTACAGAGAAGCAAACAAGCAAATGTGCCTTAAAAATCATGAAAAACTTGGTAGGGTAGAGTAAGCTAGTCGAAGGCCTCCCCAGATCCCATGGACTTTTCTCCCCCTCATTCAAACTCACAAATCCCTTAACACTTACTCCCTCAGTACAGTTTGGTGATTAATGATGTGCTGCCTTCCACTCCATTATAGAAAACGTCATCTCCTCTACAAGGCCTCTAAGGCCTTAGGGGGCAGAGAACATGCCTTTCTCACACTTCTGTGTTTCTTATCGTGCTCCTGCTAGGTCTCAATACAGGTTGGACGATTAAAGGGACAAACAGTTTAATCCAAAGCACTCAACCACCTAGCTTCCATACCCCAATTCATACATACTCGCATCACAGTCACACGGCAACATTTGTTAGCAACCCTGTTTTCATTGGGATGACTGTGGTGTCTGAGAGCAGAATATTAGCAAATATTGCACACTCTTTGGTATCTGAGTGGTGCACGTGGTCAACGGTATCTCTGTTTATGTCTTCTCTACGTCTACTCCCGAGCTCCTTCCTATTGCTCGAGTCATCCACTCATTCATAAGGCTAGCTGCAAAACATATTTAGCTCTTCTAAAGATAGGTTTTGTTTTCCATCATTGGAAAAGAAAAAAAAAAACAAAACTGCTGGGAGTCTACCTCAAGCATTGATTTAAGTTCTGAACTATTACTAGGACTTAAATATCCAAACTGCTGATCTTGTCTCTCTTGTTTTGTTTTCTTCGTGTTTCCCCCCGCCCCAAGATTTCCCTCATTACAATTTCAGGAGTATTTCCATGAGCAGTGGTCAGGGTTCTTTAGAAGCAAGTGTATCTCTCAGTTGGATGCAGGACAACATGATTTTCCCTGTTATCTGATTAACCCTGAAATTAAATCTGTTAACATTGCTGATTCGTGTTTTGAGGAAGCATTCATTTCTTTCCTACACATCCAGCTCTAGTAGGGCGTTAAAATACTTTCATTCATCTTAATTAATTAAAATTCTACCCTTAGCCCCCATTCCCTCTGTAATGTAGTTCACAGTGGGGCTTGTTGTTTGCTCTGAAGGGGCTCTGAGTGAAGATTTAGATTTCGTTTCCATTCTCAAGGCACTGACAGCACATTTGCTATCAATGTTGTATCAGAGTGTGTTTAAAACACACTCGGAAAATAACCAATGCTAAGTTTAAAAATCATTGACACTGTCATTTAATGGAACCTTTCACCTTTACTCTTTAAAGCCTACTCCTACTCACTTTGCTGTACATCTGAACATAGAATAATGTAAAAATAAAAATGGGGGAAAAGAACCCCACCCTACCTTACCAGGCTCCCTCACTTCATAATGCCAAATCTTAAGCATATGCATTGGAAGCTCCTGGGCTGCTTCAGTCACTGGACACTCTTAACTCAAATTTGGGTGGTAATCCTTCAAGACAGCCTGCTGGTTCACATCCCAGGTGGTGCAGCCGACTGGTCTAAGTCCTGAACGTAAGCATCGCTCACTTTTCCTTGCCCAGTGGGCTCATGTAAGGGGATCAGCCCTCTAAGCAAAGTGGCCAGGACAAAGGAAAATAAACGCCTCCCTTCATTACCTAAGAACAATTTAAATGAGAGCTGGTGGGAAATACAAGCTTCAAGCAAAGGTTTACTTTTTGCCTGAATTCCTCCCAAATGACCCAGGATATCAAGAAATTCATAGAAGAACAAGCTATAGCAATCACGGGATCGGCCAAATTCCATTTTAAATCCTTTATGCAAAAATGACCGGGGACCAGAACGGAGAAGTGCTGGGAAGGCAGGAATCCTTCCCAAGCCCTCAGTCGCGTGGCCAGGCTGTGTCATACCTCCTGCCCCTCCCCTCCCACCTGCCCCCCGCCCCCCGCTGGGCTCTGTGGGGTGACCTACTTTCCTCCTCCTCCTCATCGGTCCGACTCAGGGTGTCCTGCGAGGCCTGCTGGGAGGGCTCGCTGTCCTGCTCCCAGACAGTGCCGGTGCCCGTGTTGGAGCGGGACATTGTGGCCAGGCTCAGGCGGTAGGCGGAGGTGGAGGTGCCCACGGTGCTGATGGACGTCTTCCCTTGGTAGGCTAAGGGGGGAGACCAAAGGAAATCCATCGTGAGGGTCCTGGAAAGAAGAGTCTGCTTCAGACTCCTCCCTGAGCACTCGTATCTTTAAAGAAAGGCCAGTGAAATGGTGTGTCATTTTCCAAGGCTGGTAGAATGCAAATTAATTTTGACGTGAATTGTAGCTCCCAACTTGGCAGATTTTACTGAGAAACATACCTCACCTGACACAAGCATATAAAAGTAATGAATGTGTTGTCTGATAGGAACCTCACAATCAAAATCAGAATACTGTTCTCCTTCGCTGGGAATTACAATTTACAAAATACCCCCTAGGTTCTATGTCAGACCATTTTATAATAAAGCAGAATATTTGAATGGCCCTGTGGACATTTCACCAAGATTGTACTTGTCAAAATTTCTGTCTTTAATTCTTTGCAAGCAACAATAAAAGGAAAAAGCCACACACGTAACAGTCTACTTATAGGTATTGACTGCCCTCTAATGGCAGATCATTTCCTTTCCTTTCTCAGTAATGTGCTGTTAATCATTACTGTAAAAAGTAAACATGTATTCCCAAACAAAATCTTTCAAATAATGTAAAGAAAGTATCTCCTAGTCTGCCTGTTCTGATTCAACCCTCTCTCCCTCCAATTTGTGAAAAGGTAAAGGCTTTATAATCAATCATTCAGACCCGGTTTTAAGTCCCCTCTCTGTGGTCACTGCCACGTACGTCCCTTAGCCTCTCCTGAGCCTGTTTCCTCAGGCTCTAAGTGGACTCTCAGTTATGCACCGTGCAGGTAGGTGTGTGGATTCCATGAAATAACACCTATGAAATAACCTCCCAGAGAACAGATGCCCAATGAATGCGAGTCCCCTTCTCCTTTCCAACAACGAAATGAAGGCGAGAATTCAAAATTCTCTTTCCCTCAGTTAAATATTCAAGAAAGAGCTTAACTACTGAAATAAATATTGCAGACAATGTTTAGAAAAGGGGTAAAGTTATGCCCAGATGATACCCCCTTGATCTGCTTGTTGTTGCCAACGATCACATGGTCAGATCTACCAGTGCCCCGAAATGGCCAGCCCATGTGTGGTTCCAAAAGGAGAGGTGACCTGAACGGGGGCATGCTCTGTAAATCGTGAGTGCCGTTCGTCAAACAAATTAAGAACAGCCCATTCGCACTCACCTGACCCACTGTGAACTGCCTCTTTTAGAATTTTGAGCTCGCTGTTGAACTCGGCGATGAGCGAGCTCTTACACAGAGGGCGGGGGATGAAGCGCCGCTCCAGCTGGTCTGCAATATGCTGCCGGGCAGAAAGCTCCTCGTGGTTCTCTGCTGGTTGGGCCAGAAGCTGAAAGGAAGGAGGAGGTTCTCAGGTCCTCCATTTCCCCATCTGTAAAATGGGCTAATAACTGCACCTATTTCATAGTTGGTTGTGATAAAATGAAATAGAATAGTGAGGGTCCCAGAGGGAATACAGGCTTTAACTATCCCACCTTTCTCGTGTTTATCTCATGTCAGATCTCGGTCATGCCACTGAAGAAAGAACATTCTCTAGATCACTCCATTGGGTCAGCCTTTTTTGGGGGGGTAGGGGGAGTGGGGAGAAGGCAAAGTTCTATAGACTGTGAAGGTCCTTCTAGCAGGAAATTTGATTCTCTGGGATACACCTTTAAGCTGTTTCCTCACCAAGCACGATATTAACAGGTCCTGCTAACTAGCTACAGCAGGTCCATGAGCGTTGCTGCTGTCACCCTGCCTTAGTCTGGGGAGCAGCTCGATCGTGGGCTGTCACTGGAAGGAGAGGCGCACCTTGCACTGGATGAAGGGGCGCAGGAGCACGAAGATGGGGATCCGTGTCCGCACGATGAAGTCGAGGAAGTCCCACAGGGCCAGGCCTCCCACCTTCCGCAGGGCCATCTCCTTCACCTGGAGGCTCAGCCAGTACCACTGGCTGCCCAGCTGCCTCTCAAAGCAGACGAGAATCACCTTCAGGGCTTCGCACGAGGAAGAGAGAAGGGTGAGCCGCAGCCTCCTGCCTCGGGGAGCCCTGCCCGCACCCAGCTGCCCACGCACAGCCCTTCAGGCATCAGAACGGTTCTAAACTTCTGAACTCTCTCCATGTTTCCGAAGACGTACACATACTCCCGAGCGAGAGTGTTCTGACATGAAGACAGAACTTTGTAAGGGAGACATGTTTTGACGCCGAATCGAAGAAGACAAATGTCTTTCTGAGGTGCACTTAACTACTATTTCTGAAAACACATTGCAAAGAAGTTCAGAGAATTGAAAGGGAAAATGTGCTATGAACATGACGTGTGGCTAATATTTTTCTTTCCAAACGTTTTGTCGTAGTGGCTTCCTGGTAATACCAGCATATCAGTAAAATGAGTGTTTTCAAATATTTTTCTTCTAAGCATAGAAATAATATATTCCTGTTATTAAAAGTAAAATCAAAGCCATGCAGAAATGCACAAAATTAAAAATAAAAAAGTCCTTCCCCTTCTCAGCTCCCTTTCGGAGCCCACCCTAAACTGCTCCCCAGAGGTGACCAGTAGGTATGTTTGAGTCTATCCTTCCAGATTTAAAACTCTACCCCTTCCCATGTCTTGGTGCACAGGACGCAGACTGCCCAACTCGGGGGGCTCCATTCACATAGATGACAGGCCAATAAACCCCAGGAGTTGTGCAATGCAGTGTCTTGTACACTAGACTGAGTCTAGATCAGATAACAGCTACCGATAACCTCATTAGTGATCTCATACTTAGTCAGCAAGGAGGACTTCTTACTGCAGATGTCTTCCTTACAGGCCCAGGCACTCTTATAGAAATGACCAGGTAGTTTAGGCATCACAGATCTGAATGTACTTTGTTTCTGGCATACGCATATTGATGGAAACCAGACTCTCTTGCAAGGGAGCTGCTTCTTACTTGCTCAAGTGGAGTCTTTAAATCCTTTCTTGATTGAGGCCTTTAACAATATTTTTTGAGTCAAAGTGGAACATAGCTAAGTATGTATGTAGATTCATATACACACACATGCATGCATACATATACATACACCTATGTGTCTACAGAGAGAGAGAGAAGGGGAGAGGGGGAAAGTACCCACCCAAGTATGCGGCTTGGCTGGTGGACTCTGCCAACCCTTCCCTGCGCAGGTCTTTCCCCACATCCCCCGGGGTGGAGCAGTGGGCAGGGGAGCTCTCCAGCATGAAGTTCTTGCTCCTGGATGTGCTGATGATCCGAGGAGGCAGGAGCACGTTAATGACTGTCTGCAGTAAGAGCTGCACCTCGGGCTGCTCCAGCCATGGGCTATCTGAGGGGCAGAGTTGAGAAAAGGGAAGTGAAAGGAAAAGCACGTCATAAGGTAGACTTTCCGCACCAGACACACAAAATCTCAGCTCTCTTTCCAGTTCCAAACTAGAAATGCAGGTTTTTCCCCACAAAGCACAGCTTCTCCTATGGACAGTAACAGTGGTCCTGGTACTGTTTTTCTCCATGGTCAGAGCCCAAGGGCTTGTGTTCTTAGCCAAATTTCTGCTTACCATTTCAATCTCCTTTCTTTATTCTGCTCAAATAATCATAATGTCTTTACATTTGATATAAACTTTCCTAAAAGAAAAGTCCCCCGAGAAGGAAGAGAAATAAAAATATATTGGAATTTAATGGCAGTGGCAAGATTTGCTAAACCCAGTAGCAGCAGATTATAAAGGTCATTCACCTGTCAATTCACATCAAACTGTATTTCAGTTAATGCCATTTTATTAATTGAAACAATGGTCTCCTGATTTTTGCTGTACTGAAATGATTTTAAATACAATGTGTCTTCTAAGAAATGGAGCAGAAACCCTTGAGCTAGGGTAGCTAAACTGTAAAGAAAGAAAAACATCCATTTCCTAAGGTAACCCTGTTTACACCATTCAGACCGACTTCAGTGATGGCCTTCACGGGAAAAAGAAAGAGAAATGAAACCTGACATTTAAGAAAATGAAACAATAATAAATTTCCTTTAGTTAAATTAATCAGACCTTTGCTTCCAGATCCTACTGTGAGCACAAATGGGATGAGTAGATTTAAAAGCATCCCCTCCCTTCGCTCTTGATTGGTGAATGGGGAGATCACATGGCTTAAAGGGAAATCTTCTTTTAAAGCCTGTGCAGCAATAATAGAAAAACAGATTAATTGACCCCACACCCATTGAGCACGTTTGCTTTAACACAGCATGACGGAGACGGTGACTCCCTGCTGGTTGCTCCTGAAAACACTGAGTCCAACTGTTGGCTGTGCGGCATGCAAGAGTCATTCAGAAACTGATACTTCACCATTATTTGCTTGACATAACTGAGAGCTATATGCCTAAAAAACAGTAACATCTTAAATATTAAATGAAAACTTAGGGTCTGGTACAAAACCACCACATTTCCCCATTCATTTTCTCCAGGGGTCCACCAATAAATATTTTAGAGACAAAAGGAAAGGAAGAGAATGAGAACTTGCCACCTGTTGGGAGTTATGTAAAAGTCCTCTGGCCCCTGATAAGGCCTCCTCCAAGCCAGGAAGCCTTAGGCAATACAGAAAGAAAGAAGTGATCTCTGCACCCAAGTTACGAAAGTGTATCGCTTTAGGGATGCCATTGTTTCCCTTCTGCATGGCAGCCACAGTTTTTGCTCAGTTTATTTTCTATCATCTTCCCATTCTCTGGATGGTAGACCACCAAGCATGGCTGTCAGAACATGGATGGGCCAGTTATCCATTTACATCAGGTGTATACTTCCCATTGGTCACAGAGCTTTCTGATGATTCATCACTTGTTAAAATTAGGTGACACACAGAAATAGTCAGGGGAATATGCATTCTGCACTTTTTTGCCTTGGGAATGATTATTTTAATGTTAAGAAATAAAATAACTGGGGGGAATTAAAAAATGCACCCAAAATATTCAATCCACAATCATTAAATGAAATGAAAATATTCGAAGTCCAGTAATAACATTTGAAAGAATTTTCTGTTGCAATTCTTTCTACAAATAATTTAAAACTAGACTTTGAATATTACTATCTCTTTTGATTAATAATTGTGGACTGATCATCTGAGAACCATTATTTTCCTACAGTATCTATAACATTTTAAATTGCTGGAGTGGTTCCTGAGGTTGTGGCAGGACTAAACGACTCTGCTGTTTTTGAGATCTCAAGAAGAATTACAGAAGCACAACTTAGGGCCACACTCAGGGCTGAGGCTCCAAACCTGGAAGAGTTTGGAGATGTTTACACTTCTGTTTCACAGATTTTGCCCAGCCTTTGCAGAAAACAAAAAGAGAACACCATGATCTGGTGCCTCAACCAGCAACTTAATGAGCGTGACAAACAGGTAAGGCAGTCACACCTGTATCTGCAATGCTACAAGCCGGACAACAGCTGTGCTGAAGGGCAGAGGTGGTGAGAGATAAGGGCTGAGATGAAGAAGGGGTAGTCCATCAGCAACACTGGAAGGTCCTACCACTCCCATCACCTGAAATACAAACAGAGCACGTGACCAGCCTTGACTATTGCAACCTCATGCAACTGTTGTAAGGGAGTCTCATTCAAGAAAATAATAATAATAATAATAATAATAATAATAATAATAATAATAATAATAATAATTTGAAGGTTGGGCATGTTACTTTCAATCTGTTCTTGTTGCCTTCTTCTGAAGGCATGTAATGTCTGGAGTCAGATCAAACATTACACTGGATTCAGCCAAGGTTTTGTAGAATGTTGTTTACAGCTAACTATGCGAATAATGAGAGATGAGCCAAAAACTATTCTAATCAGGGGACTGGACATACTTACTTGTGGATTCAAAGGAATGCAGTCAACGTTTTTGGATGGAGCAAAGACTGACAACAATGAGGATGGCAACAGCTCTATTTGCACTAGGCATTCCAGCTACAGATTTATCGCTCAACTAGTTAAGCAGCAGGTCCCATTCAGTGAAATGCTCTAACATGGTTTCCACATCGTACAAAACCTTGTCAGGACCAGACTCTAGATATTACATAAATGATTAAAAAAAAAAATTGTTTTTCTTCATATAAACCCTAGACTGGCCAACTCATTGTGTCATTTTGCACTAAAAAAAAATAAAATTTAAAAAAATCCTCTTTGCATTTTAAACTCCCCCACCCCAGGCTATCTCAACTTCTAGCCAATGGTATAGTCTCCGCCACCCCACTCTCCAACTGGCAGCCCTCAACTCTCAGCGCAACTTGCAGAGGTTGTCAAAGTAGTGCGTGGGAAGCAGCACACCAAAATCCCGTCTGTATCTCCCCACGCACCACCTTGAAAGGTACCTCACTATGTTCAGTGTCACCTGAGCCGTCTGTTTTCATGGGTGGGTAGGGGCACAAAGCAGTTGACCTGTAAATCTTCAATTCAGAGAAGTCAATAGCAGAGTTACAGTTTGCAAAATTTCATAAGATTGCCACTTGGCTACTCACCAGGTTGACACAGACATTGATCAGTGACCTAAGGTGAGGCAGGAAGGATATGATTGGCTGCCTCTGCAGCGTCAAACAAACCCCTTCAATCAAATTGCTGGCAGGCTCCCACTCAACCTGTCGCCTGGAATACAATATAGGAGCCATTAGCAGTTTGGCTCTCTCCTGGAGACAGTCTGAAACAAGTGAGCGAGACAGTGATTCTGACGCCACGTAAGACGGGATGGGTGTCTGAGACAACGAAGTGCTCCACACAGGGTGAAGTTTACCCATGTTGTTCCAAAAGCACAGAGCACACTGGGAAGGAAAGAAGGTACTGAAAACGTGGTGGGGGCACTCCTGCCCCACTCGACTAATGAGACAAAATCTATTGAAGAAAAAGACAGAGATGATGAATGGGTTGCATGTTAAGGTCCTCGGTTTCACTTTGAAGAGAGGGTAGGAGACTACCGTTTTAGGAAACCTGTCACAGGGGTAATTACTCCCGACAGAACTAATCTGACCCCAGGTTGCATTCCTGGAATCTACTTAGCAGAGTACAGTTGATCTCATCAGCTTTCACACCAGACTACAACTCATTGAATTTATGTGGCTTACCTCCTGCCAAAAAAAATCACATTAGAGTAAATAGTTTATTTAAAAAGTGTTCTTCGTGATCTCACTTATGTGTGGAATCTAAAGAACATAATAAACTGATGAACAAAATAGATTCAGTGACATGGAAGCATGGAACAGACTGACGAATCTCAGAGGGAAGGTGGGTGTGGGTGTGTGTGTGGGGAGAGATTAATCAAAGAATTTATATGCATATATGCATAACCCATGGACACAGACAATAGTGTGGCAAAGGCCTGGGGTGGGGAGTAGGTGCAGGGTGGAAGGGGTCAACGGGGGAAAAAGGGGACACCTGTAATATTTTCAATAAAGATAAATTTAAAAATAAATAAATAAATAAATAAATAAATAAATAAATAAATAAATAAAAAGTGTCCTTTCTTGTCCTCCTAAGAAATGATATTTCTGGGCTACTTTCTTTGGTAATATAAAAGGTGGTATACATAACCCAGTTACATGAACAGGATTTCCAGTAATAAAAGTCAGTCTTGTCTGCAATTGTCATACTGAAAGAGTCATCCCTATGGCCCCTAAATAAACAAGTTGAGCTTTACAGTTATCAACACTATTTCCAAATATTATCCTGGAGATAATTTCTAAGCTTATATTTCCTACCAAAATGAAATATCTGCAATGACAAAATGGAAATGTTCACAAATGGGGCTATACTGACATCCATGATGCCCAATGGTCAGGTTCAATCAACATTACTCTTGCTGAATTGAGATCACCTGTAGAAATTAAACCCAAGGCAACCCCAAATTCACAGCATGTGCCCCAATAAAACTGCCTATAAATTGACCAAGTCTAAGCATTAATCCAGGAATCTACTTTTAGGAAACATGATGTTTTTTATAATGGGCTTAGTTATATGACAAATGAGTCAGCCTATGGGGATATTTGATATCTTTAGATACAAAACTATTTAACAAAAATAATTTATTTTGACACACTCTTGTAAGACTAATAAGACTTTGGCCATTTGCCAATAGGCACAAATGTTCCATTGGTACCACTAAAGAAAATAGGAGTGCTTTAAAGACAAGCATTTTCATGCCACTGAGAATAATGCACAGACATTCATCCCCATGGGAAAAAAGGGTATAGGAAGAAACCATTCATTATTAGAATAAAATCTTTCAATTTCTGTCTTTAAAATAAATTCAACACTTTCTGATGGCTGTGTAAATGAAGATAGCACAGGCTAAAACCTGGAAAAGTGCTGACAAATCAAACACTAGGTGCTACAAATGCTTAAGGCAAGAGTTGCACTGATTTGGGGTTTGGTTTAAAAGGATAGAAATTGCTCTCATGAACCCAAACTTGAAATTTCCAAGTTAGTGGCTTTATTAACATTTATCAGTTGAACTATCTGCTCACTATGGCTATAGGTTTCCAAAGAGGGCTCTAATCTCCAGGTAGACTGGCTCAGAGGCATCTGTTCACAGGAAGGCTATCAATAAATATTTCAGGCCACTGAATGGAGATTAGGTGGTAATAATGTCCATATAGTACCTCGAATTAGGTGAAAAGGTGAAAATTAGGTATTTGTTATCAATCTGAGGATTTTTTAAGCTGCTGCTTGTCTGATTACTATAAAGCTTGGCATTTCTCTACACTGGTACCAAAAAGAACATGTTAAATACAGTATTTTTTGAACATCAAATTAATGTTTCTTCTCTCCTTAGTTGTTTTCTTTATAAGGCATATCTTGTTTTATTTCCAAAGGAACTGAAGGATACACATCAAATTTCTTATGTGTGTCAGATAAGGAACATAATAGCTTAGAAATTAATAGATTTTTCAAGATAAATATATATTTTAAAAAATATGTTATTTCTTCAAAATATAGGCCTTGCTACTTATATATTCATGTATCTAATTAGCTATGCACATATTCCAACAAAAAACTTTCAAGCCATTCATTCAACTCCAGATTGATCCACCACTTTGAAAATGGACAAACCCTAACTTTGAGGCTTGCAATAGCAACAGCTGACCAGAGGCCTCCTCACCTCAAAGTAGGCATCTTATGAATTTTGTTGAACATCCTGTCCAATCTCTTTAAAATGAGGATGAGGGCCGGCCTCACTGCCTCCGCTGTCCAGTCAGTAATTGGTAGCATCTCCATGATGTAGCGTCGAAGCCCCCGGCTCTCCATCGTCTGTGTGTCATATGGTGCCAGCTTCAGAAGGGAGTGAGCAATTTCTGCCAACCTAAAATGTTTTTTGTTTTGTTTTTAGCACAGCGTCATACTAATCACCCTCTGTCCAGCCCACCAACTTCCTGAACACCCTGGCACATTATCTCATAATTTTTAAATAAACTTTTTAAAACAACAAATCGGGATAAAATAAGGACCATCATTTTCACTTGGTTGATATGTCTCTTAAGTCTTTTTAATTTGTAGGTTCCCCCTCTTCTGCTCCTTTTTTGACATCTCGTAGTTTATTTGTTGAAGAAATTAGCGGATGTCCTCTAGCACTTCCTGCACTCTGGATTTTGCTGATGAAATCTCCCTAATGTCATTTAATCTATTCCATGACCCCCATATTTAATTCAATTGGTAGTAAGATTTAAGGGCTAGATGAGATTAGGTTTTATTTTTCTGGCAAGTGTACTTCACAGCTGACGTGTACTTTCATCAGGAGGCACATATTCCTAGTTGTCACTCTTTTTATGAGGTCAGCTGCCATCATTAATTACGCAGATCCATTAATTCATTAGAAGCAGCGCGATGGTAATATTCTATCATTCTTTTTCTTATGTATTAAATACAGCATTTTAAAAAGGAGAAATTTCCTTTTGATTATTACAAGAGAGACAAGATAAATGCTTGAACAGACTTACAGTTTAAGAGCTCCCCAGGAGACTCTGACAGGCACTCTGGTTTAGGAATCACAGCCAAGCCATTGTGTCTCTAACCCTCGGGCTGCTCTACAATTGCCCCACCTGACTAGCACCATGGATGAAAAACTCACTACTGCACAAGGCAGCTCAGCGCATCTTTGGGGGTCCACACTGTGAGAAGCTCTCCTCAGATTAGGTCCCCCGATTCCCTCAGTTTCTTTCTCCTGTGCTTAATTTGGAAGCATGAATTCAATCCGTCTTCTCCATGGCAACACAGATACTTCATCCACACTTGTTTTCTCTCCAGATGGAACATTCTCATTGTCTTTCTGGAAATTGTGTATGAATGCGCATGTACATTCTTTCACCTCTTTCTCACAAATGTGCCATGCAGGAAAGAATTCTTTACTTTTCAGGTTGTGTGTGTGACAGGTAAGTGTGTATCTATATGTCCATATTTCTTTTCCTTTATTATTTTACACATAACACTGGGAAGTTATCAATCTATTTTAAGCTTGAAAACAATATTTAGAGCCGAATTTGAGTCATTTTATGAATTATTACCTGAATTTCTCTAATCCCTGGTTATGTTACAAAATAAATTTGCTTTGAGCATAAAACAAAAATTTCCTTTAATACAACCTTTGCTGTACTGTCGCAGGAATAATTTCTTGATAAAAAAACATTCCTAGGCTCCTTTTCTTATAAGTACAAAAGGAATTTTCCCATTGTGATGGGAAAGGATAAGAAAAGAGAGGGGGAAGTTGGGAGACAGGAAGGGGAGGCAGGAGAGAAAATATATGTGGATCTCACTATCCTGTTGTCCTGTTGCTTTGGCAGCTCTGGGGTGGCCAAGTGAGGCATAAATTCCCTTAGGGCAGACACTCCATCTATCAAGAATATTTTTCCTGAGAGTCTTGCAGTGGACTAACCATATATTCTGCAAATGCATCAACACTGCTTCTTGGCTCTTTGGCTAGAATCAAATACTTCTTGCAAACATGTCCTCTATCTTTTATATCATCACATTCCTCTTTTTTTATTTAAATCAACCTTCTATTCTTGAGTGATACTACCCATTCTTATGACCTATATGCTCACAATTTCAAAATATATGTATAGCTCTGACTTCTACATATATTCAAATGTGTACTTAATTTATAAGAGAAAGCCTTAATTGTACACTTTGACTGGTGTAGGGTCACAGCATATGGATCTGCCCTTACTCGGCAATACAGAAAATCTCTGTTTGGCCAGAGATCATGGCAGGTCTGTATTTATCAAAAGTTTGTTGGGAGACACTGCATGAATAGAGGACATTTAGTCTAACTATTCCGTGGCAGTAAAAATTTTGCCTACCCTCCAATAGATCCAGGCCATGAAATAACTGTGCTCTTGAATGAGATATCCTGGCTCCAGATAGGTTGTTCTTGCTGAACTGCATTATGACATTATGCCAACTTTTAGGACTGACAGGCATCTAGCCAAGTAAAACTGGCACTGTACCTACTATGGGTTGTTGTTGAGGATGTTGCTCGTCACACCACTCTTTCCTTTTAGCAAACACCAAACAGGAAATATTTCTTGTCCTTTGCATTTAAAAAGAGTGATGTCTTATCAAACACCTTGTTATTTTTATCTTGACACTATGATTTTTTAATTGATCATTCCTCCCTCATTGCTTTGATAACTAAGAAGCTCAAAGTCAAATGTATGGTTCCTGAAGAGCATCTAATATGATCAAGTCATATAGATTTCATGTGTTAATCTTATCATAATCATAATTATATACCTGATAATTTTTCATATTGTTTTGACACTCTGATTCGTATATTCTATCCCTTTGTATCATGTAATTTTCTAAGCTGCCTCAAGTACTTTGTAAAATGATAAATACATAAATATACACGTGATATACAGTACTTGCAACACTGCATTAAAGCTACCTTCTTATATGTGCCTCCTGCATTGGGCTGTGATCATGTTGAAAACCAGGATGTTATTTTGCATGCCCAGTGTCCAGCATTAGCATTAGTATCTATCTACTGGACTCGATTAACTCAGTGACAGGCAGGGAGCTAACCCATTTCAACTACAGTTCATTTAACTTCTAATAGGGTTTGGCCTCTAGAGGGAGCGCCAGGCCTCTCTGACTCATCCTATCCCCTCCCTCCAAATGCTTTAAGAAGTGAAGTTATATAGATGGTCAAGTTACAAGACAGTTACGAACCTGTTATCATGATCTCTCTCTCTGTCTCTCTGTCTCTCTCATCCATCTTCTAGGAATTTTTTCCCCCTTTCTCTCATAAAATGGCTGTTGGTAGTAGTGATTCTCTGACTCTGGGGATGTGGTGTTGCTCTGTTCACAGAATTACTTAGGTTGCCTAGCCATAAGGAGTGGGGAATGGGGGGGTAGATTAAATGGAGCCCTGGGTTGTTAAGGCAGCAGGATCTTAACACTCCAGACTGCCCCCCCCCACCCCTTCCCCAGCGAGAAGCTGAAATTCTCAGCGGGAAGCAAACCCTTCCCCATTGGTGCACAGTGGGGAATGTGAGCTCATAGGAAGCTCTGGGGTTCTGGGTGTGTGTCAACCACTCCCAGACAGTGTGAAATTAGCCTGGAGGAGAAAGAGCCTGTGGTCTCTATACATTTTTGGCCTCTCTTATTACCTTACTCAGTACTTTTTAAGTTTTTCAAGGGATAATTGTAAGAAAAAAAGTCAATAATCAGGAAGTTGGTGTATTTGCCAAACTGCAGTGTTATTTCTGAACGGCTAGAATCTAACTCCAGCTTTAGTTTTATAGACATACTAATCTCTCCAGGTGAAGATTTTGCTGTCCATGGAATTTGCCTTTCCAAGGAATTTTTATGACCCTTTACCAACTGTTAGAAATCTGAATAGATGGTCCTTTGGAATCATTTTCCTTTTAGGAATCTGAAAATATAGACACAGCCTACATGGTCTGAGTAGCAATTGAGATGGCATCTCCATAGGGAGAATGAAATATGGGTGCACAGAGATGCAGTTCTAGGGTCTCTTCCTGGCATACCAGGAGAGAAAATTTTGAAACGATTATTGTTGGTCTCATCCAGTTCAAAATTTTTACCAGGGCACTGTTTTAAAATGTTGGAAGCCTATCACATACAATTTGTGTGAAGGGGCTCTCAGACTTAAGCAAAGTATGGCTCAGAGTTATTTAAAAAATTTTTTAAAATCAAGATTAAGGTTAGCACCACTTCTGTGTTTATGCAAATAAACTCATGATTTTATTTTTTTTAAAAAAGGTCCACTTCCCTGTGGGGCTCATTACTGAGTCCTCAGGTGGTGTAGGGGCAGAGCAAGTCCTTGAGCAGGAAGTAGTAGCACATCTTTCATGTAAATAATACAGAGGAAACATTCAATCCTTGTGAAAAATTAGAATCTGAGCACGTAAGAGTATTTGGAAGATGGCTACTTCTGTAAGAATTCAGGTGATGAAATTTCCCTTTCCTGTACTTTTGTTAAGGAGTAATTATATGGACTGGGCTTTCTGTCTTTAAGAACATGTGTCCCCTTGTCCAACCGGAGATCCTTTCAGATGAACTTAACATACATTTTCCCAGAGGGCTCTGCATGATATGCATGTAAGATCCAAGCCACTGGAAACAAATCATTCTGAGCATCCCAAGTTCTTATCCTGGGACCCCCTCACCTCCAACCCAGACATACTGCCTGAGTTGCATCTACACTCAGGGTAGGAAAGTACAGTACCTCATGTGGGACTTCACATCCAGCAACTCCAGGGCGGTGACCCGAGGCTCTCCAGCCAGGTTTTGCAAGATTTTCAGCCTTGGCCCACAGTGCTTGTAGAATTCGGTGCAGATATTCAGCAGGGACTCCCTGGGTCTTCTGAACTCCTCCCGGGCAATTCGTTCATCCAGCTCCTCTCTGGGAAGACCTTGCCCCTCCTCCAGCAAGTGCAGGTTTTCCCTGGGGAATTATAAAAGGTTAACTGGAGACCTGGAAAGGTGTGTGTACAGCAACTCTGAGAGTTGGGTATCCCGTGGAAGAAAAAGATAAAGATTTCTTGTATCATATAACAGCTAATGAATCCGGGTGGGGCCCAGGAGAAATTCATCTGAAGGATGAAGTTTATCATCCTAGGAGGGACAGCCATCCCAAATTGTAGTGGCTTTGCATTAGCCAGTTCCTGAGGATTTACCCAGAAATAGCATGCCATGTGTTAGTTAAATGAAATCTAATGGAGCCATAGCCCAGCTCAAAGGCAATCATTCTAAGACGTCAGAATTAGTATGAAACTAGGGTTGGTTGTCTTTCGGTACCTGATAAAGTGCAGTTTGGCGCCTTGTTCCTGGTACCTGGGAGTGAGAAAAACAGTCTGCGTTACTGTCAGAGCAGGAACCCGGGCCCTGCGCTGGGGCTTCTTAAGGACTTTTTCTTATGAAAAGCCCTCGAAGCTATACATTTTGATAAACTCACAAATACAAATGAATAAATTGTAAACTATAAAATTTAAATCTTTTATTTGGCTGCCACATATATTGCAATTATAGCTGCTTTGAAAGCTGTTCCATTGCCATAAAATCTGTAGAAAGACAGATATTATAAAAATACATACAATGTCATGAAATGTGGTCAATAAGGGAATTTTTTAACACTTTGAAAGTAAAGTGAATCTAAGTTACAGTTTTAACACCACGTGCTTTGTCTTAGGTGACCAGAGGAAGACATATGGCTGACTTCCTTTCAGCTGGGGAGATATACTGCTTTATGATTGACTGGTAATAGGACTTTAGAAACCTTATTTTTCCATATACCTTTCATCCAGTAGTTGAAACCTGCCCCTAAATATCACTTAAAGTGTAATAATTTTTTTCTCAATATAAAAAATTGAGGCATGAGATTACCATCATATCAGGTGACTTATATAGTTAGGTTTGGAATTAGTTTTATTTTTAATATAAATATATATGGTGAGCAAGAAATTAACTTTACATAAAATAATGATACACACTTAAAAATGTGCTTCAGAGAGACTGAAAAATTAGTTTCTCTGTAACAGCTCCCTGCTAACTATTCCATACCAAGAAAAAAGAACTTTCTCGCAAACTGACTTTGGGTTTGCCCTGTTTTAATTTTTCCTTGGAGGAAGAGGCTAATTAAGTGTGTGTGTGTGTGTGTGTGTGTGTGTGTGTGTGTGTGTGTGTGTGACTATTTGGCGATTAACACAGACAGAATGAAGCAGGTGAAGTATTAATAGCATAACCAGTGTCTATGAAGCCATCTCTAGTATGTTATTGATGCGATAGTAGGGCTTGGTATCATACAGTTCAAACTTGAATTTCAAAACTTTAAGTTTACATTAGAAAACAGTCACAGAGCTACTAAGTGTATAAAACTCATGTAAGCTATACCAAAACAGGGAAGGAGATTAAATCAGTGACCATGAAGGACCTGAGTCAGTCTGGATGAAATATCTGTGGAAAATCTGTCCAGATGAAAGAAAGTTGACTCCACACAACTGCCCCAGAATGAGGAACCACCTCCGGATGATTAGTGTTTTGTTTGCCTTTCTCTTGGAGGCAAATGGAACAACACTGGAATAGTTCAGAGGCCACCCAGGAGGCAGAGAGCATCTTGCATGTTCGTGCAAATAAGTGGACACAAAGGCCCATTTATGAAGGTGCCTTGGATTTCTCTTTGACAATTTCAAATGAAGCCTTTGTATTTTCTTGAACTCTAAACTTTCATCGTTTTTTATTTCCTTGGAGATTTTCACACTTAATATTGACTATTTTCAGGATTCCTTTCATCCTCAACAGTGGAGATTCAGGTTGTATGACATCGAGAGACCATACAAGTATAAGGCCAGTGAATTACCTGGTGTTTACCCCAGACGACATGGTGTGATTGGCTGTGGTGGTCCCTTTATGACCCTGGTCACACCTGCTCATCTGTGGGGCTGTCATGGGCCTGCAACAAGGACAGTAACCACCACAACAAAGCAACAACAACAGAAGTGAAAACATTTATGAAATACTCATTATTGAAGCTCACATAAGTTTTAAGTTAGTGTCTCAAAAAGACAGGCTACCTAGCTTTGGGCTTTTCTGTCATACTCTTTTGCTGTCTTTGTTCTGGGAGGCACTTTAAAAGGGACATTGTCCTAAGGGTCTATGAGCTCACTATGATTTAAGTTCTTCTACTTGGCTCTGATCAATAGACTATGACTCTTCAAACTGGACATTTAAGAAATCAAACTTCTAAGTCTATATTAATTGAGAGTTGAGAGCACATTTTTCAATTCTGCAGGTACCAGAAAGTTAACCATTCTAAATAATAAGTAAAAGGTAAAAGTGTACATACCATTGGCCACCGACACCATAACCAACCACTCTTATTTTCTATAAGAAACTACCAAAGAATGAAAGAATCTTTCTAAACAAAATCATACCTAAGATGACTCAGGGAGTGTAAGTGAGTAAATTGGTATCTGTTATAAGTCAGGAACTTAGATACTTAGATGTATATTTGAATCTAATTTGATATCTGCAGGGTTTGCTTTAAGGATTAGATCAACTTTGCCTCTCTATCGGCAACTGAGACATGGAAGGGACAGTGCAGCTTTTCAAAACAATTGCTTGTATGAACTCTTTAAGGCTTGCTGTTCTAATGCTCATTGTCTGCATGCTGGGTGTGGCCAAAACATGAGTAGGCTTCCAACAATCACACCAGACCTTCTTCCTGTGCCTTTGTTGTGCTAGGCAGAACATAAAGATGGCCCCAAGACCTTCACTCTGAGTGTTACTCCAGCGATTATATTATAGGGCAAAAAGGAGATTATCTGGGTGGGCCTAATCTCACCACCCCAGTCCTTAAAAAGCAGAGAGTTTTCTCTGGCAGAAAGATTCAAAACATGAAGACTCTTGGTGGCATTGCTAGCTAGAGGGTGCCAGGTGAGAAGAAATGCCAGTGACTTCTTAAAGCAGAGAGTGGCCCCTGGCTGGCAGTCAGAAAGGAAAAGGGACTTCAGACCTAAAGCTGCATGGTATGGATTCTGCCAGAAATCTGAATGAGCCTAGAGGTGGATTTTCACCCCTAGAACCTTCAGATGAGAGCCCGGACTGACTAACATCTTGATTTTGGCCTCGTGAGACCCTGAGCAGAGAACAGCTGAGCCTTCCCTGACTTCTGGCCTACAGAAATATGAGATAATAAATGTGTTTTGTCTTAAGCCTCTAGGTTGTGGTAATGCATTGCACAACAATAGAAAACTAGTACTAATACAATTGTAATATACTTATTATGTGTTACCAGCTATATAACTGTTAATTATTTTCATGTGTAAAAAAAGGAGCGTGGAAATGAAATGAGGTTCTTATTATCTTCTTTTTGTAAAAACAATAAAGTCAATTTTATTGTGAATAATTATAACCAACCAATGAGGCTAGTTTTACACTCCACCATATTTGATTTTAAGAGTTTTTATTTTAAAAAAATATATCTATCTTTGTTGATTTCAGAGAAAGGAAGGAAGGGGGAGAGAGATAGAAACATCAATGATGAGAGCGTCATTGATCGGCTGCCTCCTGCATGACCCCTACTGAGGATCGAGCCCTCAACCCGGGCATGTGCCTTGACTGGGAATCAAACTGAGATCTTCTGGATCATAGGTTGATGCTCAACTGCTCAGTCACACCAGGAGGGCAAGGGTTTCTATTTTATTAAAGATAATTTTAGAACGTATTTTCCTGTCTTTACTAAACCCAGCGGGGTTACATCGTGCCTGGATAGCTCTTTATCTGTCTGCCTTTGTATGTTGAACTGTACTAGTTTAGCATTTAGCATGTCTATGGAAAAAGGCTATCTAGCAATAAAAAAATACCATATGAAAAAATATATATATTAAATGCACTCAAATATTTAAAGCCATGGTATTTTAAATGTCAGGATTCCATCCGTAATTCTCCGTGAAATTTTGGGTAAGTTAAAGTTAATTTGGGGTAAGTCAATCAGTAATTGACTTATCAAAGAGAACAGAAACGAGGAAAGCACCAACACTGCAGAATATAAGGAGAAATAACTAAAGCAGCGCTTCGGGAAAACTCACTGCTCTTCTCTCCTCTATTTGCAGTAAGGGGCTGGTGATATAAGCAGATGGGCGCAGAAAAAAGAGTGTAAGGCTGACATTTCTTCTTCTTCCTGGGACTTTCCTGAAGCCATCATCAAAGTCTTAGGACTATTTCCCAGGGGAATAGGCAATTTGTCATGGTTCTCTGCTCCACTGCTTCCCATATCCTCGGTTTAGTTGCATATGAGCACTTCGGCAGTGATAGTCCACCCAAGGCTTTGGGCTACACTCCCTTTGCCTACACTGGCAATGTAGCTCATGATGAGAATCTAAACATACATTGACTTATTGAATTGTAGTATCGCTTACTCTCTCATTGGCTGGTGTGTGTGGAAAAAGTCCTCTGGAGACAGGGATTTCAGCTAGTTCTGTCATCAACAGAGCAAGACGGGGCTGGGAAGTCGTAGACAGAATTTTAGGCTAAGGGTGTGACCAAATGGGATAGAGGGGCAAAGACACCAACCCAGGAAGAAGGTTTTCCCATCTCCACTCCAGGAAAGAATATATCCTTCCTTCTAATTTTAGATGGGAATGGAGAAGGAAAGCCAATCATTTGTAGAGTGTCCTGCACTTACCTTCCCCATTCCTCTCACTCAATCTTTTGTCTCTGACCCAAACCCTCCCCCACTCCTGGTCTTTCAATGCCTTCTGTTTCTGCACCCAAGAATCTTGTGATAGGACTAACTTCTTGGAACTTTGTTTAGGGCTGAATTCTGGTGACAATTTACCTTTCTAGCCCCAAATCTCTCAGCCCCCTCTCTTAGCACTAGTGAGTCTTGTCCCACAGAGAATCTGTTCGTTATGGCATTAGAATACAATTTTGCAGATTATGCTTGTTATGCAGTTTTTTAAAATTGCAGTAAAAAAAACAACTCAATACAGACAGTAAAATAATAAAAGAACGCATAGTTGGAATTGCAGACATTTTCATAAAATAAGAGCCAATAAAAATGTTGATCACATTTTTATATTCGCTAAATTGTCCCTTTTACAAAAGATTTGTTTAGCACTGGGTTAAAACTGCCACAGATGTTCAGCAAACTACATGCAAATGTGTGTTTAGTAACCAAGTACAATAATAATAATATTAGTACTTAGCACAATTTATCCAAACAACTTAGGGAATATTTTCAGTTTTAAGCCATAAAGGACTGAGTTTGGGCAGATATCTGCAAATAAAGACTGGTTTTAGAAATTTTTAGCCATCGCATTTTTCCTTCATCTTTTTGGTTGATACATGTAGTTTAATGCTGTGGATATTTTTGCCAATGGGATTACCTGGTGAGGACCTCCACGCTGTACAAAAGGGCCTGTAGTGATGTCGCAAGAGCAGCGGTGGCAGCGATCTCCTCCCGGGCAGCAGGCACTGTCTCCACTTGTGATGTCTGCCTCTTTAGCTTTTGTAGGTAACATGGGACTAAAGCTTCCAAGACCATCAGCATCTGAAGACTATGTCAACAGAAAGGAAACCAAGTCACATTTTACATTCTCTTTTTGTTGGTTGTGTCATATTTAAGAGCATGGAAAAGTGAAAAGATAAACATTGCACACTGAACTTTGGGAAAACTGGTAGAAATAATGACCAAAACCTGAAATACGAAAGTTCAAAATGACAGAAACTCTAACGGGCAAAGTTTTATGTAGACCAAAATAAAATAAGTCCTCCCCTCAAAACCTAAATAATGAAATGAATATTTCTTATAAATCTTACATGGAAAGAAAATAACCTCAATGAAAACAACTTTGATAAAATAAAAAAATAATAAAAATAAAAAGTTAAAAGGGGCTTATTTGTAACTTAAAATGATTGATGAAAGAATTAAATTGGCATAAAGAAATTAGCTTTAAAAATTATCCCCTAAAATTGATCACTATAGGTATAATTAGGATGAAGATGTCTGTATTTATAAAGTCAGAGTCAAAATATTCTTGGGGTCAAAATATCCTCTGGGCTAAAATAGTAGAGCTGCAATAGTCAGGCCAACATATTTACACGCCAATTGATAACCAAACTTAGGTTTAAGATGGAATATGAGATAATAAAGAAATGATGATAAGGAGACTGGTCAGACAGAGAATATTAAGAATTTGAAGTAATGTCTAAATCTGTACGCCCCAAGCAATTTTTACATCCCAAGTAGGTTATAATATTTAACTTTCAGATCAGTTTCATTTTTCTATCCAATGTTCCAGAAATGACCTGATTTATAGATGTTTCAGGAGAGGACTGGTTATTAGGTTGGAATTGGACTAGTTGGAATTGACAGGTACTAGCTCTTTGGCCTTCCTTGCCATAAGAATCACTGGTCAAACTCCCTTCGCTTCAAACCTGAGTGAGAGTCACAACTCACCCCATGAATATGAGATCATCAACTGATCTGAGGTCAACCAACGGAGGTGACTCTGGGTTAGATCAGAGCCAGCATCTTGGAATTAGGATGATAGACAAGATTTATATTCTTGTTTTTTGTGTCACAAGAGTTTGTAGTCTCAGTTCTTTGAATTTACATCAGAAAGATGGTATCCTACCTAGATCTGGCAGCCTTTACAGAGGATCAACACCCTGGAACAATTCATCAGCCTATACTTGTCTCAAAAGTAAGGGAAAGTAGAAGCAAGAGCTGTATTATGTTTATGACTAATCCTCAGTTTTTTTTCAAACTACCCTGACCGTGAAAGGCTGTCAAGGAAGGAATTACAAATAAGAGAAATAAGAATATTGAAACAGTTGGATGTTTGATTCATTCATTGCGTAAATGTTTATTGTTATATCTTCTATGGAATAAAGCACCATGTTGGACACTGGGAGGTACAGACAGATATACTAAAAATATGGTAGCATACAATCTGGTGCTTTGTTTACAGTTAGGTATTATATGAAAATATCAAGGTAGATTGAGAAGCAGAGAGGGAGAGATTGCCTAATGTTGATATAACTGGGAAGGACAAAGGGTTTGTTAAACCAGAATATGGAACATTTTAAAGTTCTAGTGTTTTTAAGGAAGTATGCTACATTAAAAGGAGGTTATCTGTGGTTAATTTGTCTCTGCCTTTAGAAGACCTATTTAGTAGAAAGATGAAACTGGTTTTCATTTTGCATATCACTGTATATCTCAGACCAGAGTCAACATCCTCAAATTGGGATGACATTCTCCATGCTAGTCCTTTAAATTCCTTGCACTTAGCAAAATAACAGGCAAGATTTATATTCTTGCTCTTTGTGAAGAAGTTTTTATTGCTTCTTGAAAGGAGTTTCTTTAAATAGATTAAATGTCTATTCTAAAATTTTATTTGCTCTTAATTTGTATTGCATGTGAAGATATTCTCTAAACAACACTAAAGATCTTAGCTGCTGCACGAGTTCTAAATTAGGGGATTCCAAATTAGTGGAGATTTACCATATTTTCCAGAACCTTGGCTATGGCAAGTTTCCCAAATTTAGTTTTGGAAAACTGTCTTGCAAGAATGTTACAGGCTGCCCAGCTGGGCATGGCTAAGTGGTTGACCATCGGCCTAGGATCCAGGAGGTCACAGTTCGATTCCCAGTCAGGGCACATGCCGGGTTGCGGGCTTGATCCCCAGTTGGGGGCATGCAGGAGGTAGCCAGTCAATGACTCTCTCTCATCATTGATGTTTCTATCTCTCTCTCTCCCTCTCCCTTCCTCTCTCTGAAATCAATAAAGATATATATATATATTTTTAAAAAAGAATGTTACAGGCTGATATTAGCAAACATAATCCTTGGATTCAATTTTTTCTTTGCTATATTTACTTATCATGAGACACAGAACAAAGGGCTGCAGTCACCTTCTGAAAGATTCTGGAGCGTATGCCACCACCGTAACACAGAGCTTAATGGCCTCACTTATAGAGAACGTCAGGTCTTCGTTTCCATAGCAGAAATCTGAAGGGACAGAAGGCAAATGCACACAATCAGAGTGGATTCTGCCAGGAATAAGAAAGAACTTATTGCTCTTAATGGTTTTTTTCTAGTTAGATTTTGCAGCTCTTTCTTCATCAGACTTTTTTACTAAACTGCGAAAACTATTAATTTCTTCATCTAAAGAGACTGAAAATTCTGTTGTTGTTTTTTAAACTTTGAAATAATAAAAGGAAAAATAAAAGCACATTTTGGGAGAGTAGTTTTTAAAAAGCTCACCTCTTAAAAGATACATTTGGAAGGCCTACAGCCAGACATGACTTCTAACAATCATGATAATAAAAGACCACTTTGGTGAGTTATTCACATAGAACTGCCCAGGAAAACCCAATTTTCTTAAAACTGTAGTGCTAAATAGTTTACTAAGCATCATTTTAATACAATTTTCATGGCAGAGAATTCCTTACTCTTTAGCATTTACAAGAAATTTAATAAAAACAGAAGATAGGAAAATGTACTCATTCAATTTATAACACTGCTCTATTTATTTTTGCTGTTTTGATTTAGTTCAAAGTATTCAATACAGAGGTTTGTTTTGTTTTTTAAGAACAATTACAAAGAGAAAAAATGTCAAGGCAAATTTTGCTCTTACCTAATGATTTAAGCGGCTTCTCAGCCTTGACCAGCTCGAGGATGTCTAATATGTCCGTGGTCTCACCCTCCAGGGACTGGAGCAAGTCAAACAGGCACTGAGCTGACACACCTTTGCTGGGCCCACTATTGGCAGCATCCTGTGTAAAGAAAGGCAATTTTAGTTTATTGATTCCCACCTCAGTACTGATGTGATTTGATCAGGAATTCAAATTTCACAAGCACTACCGCCGATAACAATTACACATCGATCTGGTGTTCAGCTTACATAATTCTGCACCCAGCAATGCTGCTGTGTGATTTTGGAGTGGAGCATCTGACTTTTATGGGATCTATCAAATGCTTATCTGGTACAAAAGAGATATTTGTGGAAACTCATAAAAATACAACAATATGTCAGCTGCCAGAAAACTTCATGCCGATGGCTCCTCTGGTCTGAGATTGCAGGATTCAGCATTTGCAAAGGCAGATTTTGTAATCGGTTGAATAGTTCTAGCATGTTTAGGATAACAGTGCTTGTTTGAACAGCCCTGGGAATTTTATAGATCTGTTTGATAATATGTCTCCAAAATGGAGATACTTAGCATCTCAAATCCATTTTAAATGGCTTTGATTCATTTATTAAAATAACAATTCCTTATTAAATTCCTACTCTGTGCTAGACACCATTCTGTGCACTGGGGATATAGCAAACAAAAACAAAAATCCTACATGGAAAACAACAACTAAAAACAAACAAAAACCAGACTAGGGTCTTGCTTTAATGGAGCTTAAATTCTGTTGTGGGGTATGGTAGGGATACAGTTAGTTAAACAAATATCTGGAAAGCATGTTATATGGTAGAAATGTGCTGAAGAAAAAGGAAAAGGGAGGTAAGAGCTAGAGAACAATATGAAAGAATGTGAATCAGGAACTTTTCCTTTTATCATTTTATATTTTCCATCCTTTTATTAACTGAGTATAAAAAAAAGAACACCTGAAAAGTTGGTCTATTTACATCCTAGGGGCCGAGATGAAGGTTGAAGAGAAATGTTGACTAGAAATGATTTTCTTATTGAAAAAGAAATGATTTATGGTATTCGTATCCCATTAGGTGAAGAAAGAGAGCTGAGAGACTGATTACACAAACAAACAATGGCCAGGTCACACATAACAATAGAACTCTGCTCCCCAACCTGTACTAACCTTCCCAGAAAACCAGCCCAAACCCATTGTCTACAGAAACCAGCCCAAGAAGCCAGCCTGTAATACATCAGGTTTGTTGGAAGTCGGGGTACTAGCTCTAATGGCAACCAAACCCCTGTAACCATAAGCCCCAAAACAGCCAGGACTTGATTAATAAGTAATCTCTGTCCCTGCTTCCAACTTAGGACCAATCAGAGAAAGCCAAATAAGCACCCCTAACCATTCACACAGGATGCCCCACTTCTAGTCGGCCCACTTACAGCTTCTCCAGGCCAACAGCCTCTACTCAGAACACACCCAAAGCCTCCCCTTTCCTCCCTATAAAGATTTCCCAGTCCTCTGCCTGCCTTTGAGTCTCTGCCAAAACACAAGTGATGGTGGCTGAGCCCTCGCCACAGCGAGCTGTGACTAAGGGGGCCTTTGCTTTTCTCGTTTGTTTATTTCCACAGTGTTCACTCACAGGAAACTCCAGCAGCGGGGCCACACTAGCAAACAGCTGGAGCACGAAGGGCTTCCGGTGAAGAATGTAGAACTGGTGGCAGGCAAACTCAATGGCTTGGCGCAACTGGGGATTGCTTTCATAATCAGAGTATACCTACGGAAAGATGCCACACAGTCAGAAAATGTCTCATAGCCACGGGGAGCATGGAAGAGAATGGGTCATTTCATCAACTGGTAAATAGTATAACCTTTCTTCAGAGAAATTTGGTAATATACATAAAAATCCTAAAATACATATAAATATACTCTTTCCCCAGAAAGTTTGTGATTAGGAATTTGTCTCAAGAGAAGAATTGGACAAATGTACAAAGATGTATATACAAGAAGGTCCACTGCAAGGTTGCTTATACTAGTGGAAAATTTGAAACAAATTACTCATAAGATGGGGTTGGTTAAGTGAATTATGGCATGTGCATAGAACAGAATACTATGCAGTTATTTTTAAAAATGCTGTAGTGCTAAATGTAGCTACAGGGGAAAAAATGCACATGATGTTCTTAGTGTTACATAAAAAAAGTAGGTAATAAACTTGAATATATGGTATGATTCAACTTTTGTTTAAAAAAAAAGGCAGGATAGAGTGGCAGAGCTTTCAAGAAGTGTAAACAATGGTCATGTGGGAGGGAGGATTATAAGTGATCTTCATTTTCTTTTTTAAACTCTTCTTTATCTTCTGAATTTTATAATCAGCATTTATTGTTTTTAGTAATCGGTAAAAAAGTTATGAAAAGAGAGAAAATTCCAACTGCTTTAAAACAAGGCAGAGAGCCCTGGTGATTTTAAAAGTAAATTTCTTGGCCCTGTAGGTTAAGGGAATTCCACTTTGCACGAGAATGTAATACCTTCATAACTTTTATTAAAACTTCCATAAAACTAGAGAACTAGGATGAGCCCCCAGGCCTTCGCTGAACTTCATTCAGTACTGCTAAATGTGGCCACATATGCATCAGAGATGAGTAAACAGAAACTGCTCCTGCTAAATTCACCTCCTTCAATCTCTTCATACCGAAGATAATGCAAAGAAAATCTCCGTTCAGAAAGAAGTCAGACACTCTCTTGGAGAAATGTCAGCTGAACACTTGCCATACACTGGAATATGGTTCTCAAATATTCTAAGGCGTCAGAAACCACCTGGAGGCCTTGTTAAAACACAGATAACTAGGTCCTGACTCCAGAGTTTCTGATGCAGTAGGTTTGGGATGGGGCTCAAGAATGTGCAATATTAACAGATTTCCAGGTGATGCTAGTACTGCTAGATCCTGAGATCATACTTTGAGAATCACTGGCCTAGAAGAAATGCGGAAGCATGTTCCAGGTCGGGGGGAATCTCAGCATAGAATGGAATATTGTGACCTCTTGGAAATTTTTAGGGGAATTTCATTTGGTGCTTCCTGCTGTCACAAAAGAAGGTGACTCTGTCATTAAAAAATTTCAGTATAGATCCTGTAGACCTGCTAGATGAACAGTACTCAGGTTAATTCTCTAGCTAGGAGAGGAGGGCCTGGCACCTGCAGCATGGTGGGCAGAATCCACTGGTAGCCGCTGAGCGAGAAGAGGTGGTTGAAGTGCACAGCACTGTTGATGACGGTGGCCGCGTACTGCCTGAGCAGGGCACTGTCTTCGGGGTGGAGAATCAGAGCCCCGTTAAAAACGTTGAGGAAGAGCATGATTTCATCTCCCCAGGGAAACTCGCTCGGCATGCCCAGGAACATCTCCTCCAGGAGCTGGATCCACAAGCTTTTCTGAAGAGTGTCGAGGCCAAACAGCTCCTTCCCAGCTGTGAGAACATGAAACAGCAGAAACAGAATTAGCCCCACACAGATCCTGTCCGTGTGGGAGGGCGATCCAACCCGAGGGCACTGCTGTTTTCCATTTGTTCCAGCAACAAGATGTGACAATCTACTGCTGAAATGCTTCCCAGCACAATAGCTGGCATTGGTATGACACTTCCTAATTCTCAAAGGATTTTCAGCATCACCTTTGTGATTCAACTCTGTGGGCAGGCAGAAGAGACACCTGCAGTGGGTTGCTGCTGAATACACTGTGGCTTTGAGAGAAGTTATTTCAGAAAGAAAACGGCAGGGTTGGGACTACTGCTTGGTCTTTTAACTTCTGGTCAGATCAGAGCTCTTTCCACTGTCACTCTGCAGCCTCTGGATGGAGACACCGAGCACAGGTATGCTCATTTCAGCATCTGTTCCAAATTAATAACTGAGTAACACACTGAGGTTTCAAAGTGCATCTCTTTTTGTTCCTTTGTCTCTGTTTCTTTCTCGTTCTCAATTCAGGTATAATTTAGAGAGTAAAATGCACAGATCTTATATAGAGTTGAATGAGCTTTGCCAAAAATACACTCTCGTACCCACCACCCCAATCAATATATAAGACCATTTCATCACTGTAGAAAGTTCCCTTATGCCCCTTTCCAGGTAATTCACTCCCCCAACCCAGGGGCAACCTCTGTCCTGCTCTCTGTCACCATAGAATAGTTTTCCCTCCTCTCGAGCTTCTCATACACACCTACTCTTCACTTGGTCAACCTAACATCATACGATTTCCTTCAACTGCTTATACTTAGCTTGGAGCGCGGTTTCAAAGTTTGGTCCCCAGAGCAGCAGCATCATCATTACCTGGGAACTTATTAGAAATGCAAGTTCCTGAGCCCCATTTCAGAGCCACTGAATTAGAAACTTGGGGCTAGAAGGCGGGGCCCAGAAACCTGTGTTTTATCAAGTCCTCCGGGTGATTCTGATGCATAGTCAAGGCTGAGAACCACTGGCTTATAGAACTGCCTACTGACGGAGATACCCTCCTGCCAACGGCAAAACAAGGGCATGAGAAGCCCAAGAGAGGAAATGTTTTTTGTCTCGATACCTTGAGGATCACTGAAGAGTGAAAACTCAGCATCGATAGCACTTCGAGGGAATGAGGGCAGTCGGAGGAGGTCTTCCTGGAGCATGGAGACGTGGGACTGCTTGTGGGCTGTGGGGATCTTCTGCGTCAGGGAGATGAGAAACAAAACCCGCCCCACTTCCTCCAGCTTCCGCGTGAACACCTGGCAGCAAGCAAAAGTGGGAGTGGAGGGAAAACAGAATTAGCAACTCCAAAGTTACAAAGAGTGAAGAAATTGAAGCAAAATCTTTAATAGCAAACTGGCTGAGCATATCAGGGGGTGGGGGAAGTAAAATTAGGGAGAAAATTTTTTTTTAAACCACACAGAAAGAGCAAACAATACTTAATTGACCATCACTCCCTGCATCTGTCTCCTCTACAAACTCTACTCTTGTAGAATTGCGGTCTGGAGGAACACAATACAAGCATTGTCAAGGATAGTTCAATCACATAGAGGCCATTTGTCTAGATATCATAATATAGAAGACCTTTTCCAAGAGGAGCCAGACAGTTCCAATTGCTTCTACCATTTCCACTGATGCCTTAAGCTGTTTCCTGTTGGTTCTGTGTTTGCCTCTTTAAAAGTGAACCAAAATGGGATCCAGGAAAAATCTATCTTGGAACAAAAGCTGATGGGACCCTAGGTTAGATCTCCTTTAGCCCTGAGTTTAGATGGCATGAGCATGGGCCTCTGAGCCCCTACTCATAGTTCTTTTTCTATTGATGATCAGTGGACTGGGGATATGATTTGGGAGTTCACAGGCAGTGAGCCACTGTTGAGGAAACCAGAGCCAGAACCAAGGGTCTGCATATTATTATCTTCCTGAGGAACCTAGAAAGACATCTTAAGGTCCAACAGGGAGTATACACAGGGTCAGAGCCCCATTTTATGCTACCCTTTTAAAACATGTTCTTAAACGTGGTTAAAAAACACACTAGTGAAGTGCCATTATTCATGATGGCTTTAGTTAATTTGTTGCCAAAATATGGGCTAGGATAATTTGAGAAAAAATTGTTTAAATGTAAGATCTTTCCAGTTTTGCCCAATATCTCATCCCTGTAACACATTCAGTATTTTTTCTTTTAAACGTAATTTAGGTAGCTAACAGTAACTATATTTTTAATTGCTTACGTGGCCTAATTCTATACCATTCTTATTCATCTCATAAAGGGATTTTGGATGGTTGTATGCCAAATTATCATTTTTGGTATGTGCAGAAAAACTGAAATTATTAAGTACCCTGACATTTTTGCTTAGACACTTTATTATAAATAAATGTAAATCAATTATAAATAAAAACAATGTAATGCATAGATCATATTAAAATGATATTATTAAAATTTTAAACTACACCTATATTTTGCATGCAAAATAGCGAATTTCCTTAAGCTTGAAGTCTGATATGTGATAAGACATGTGAACATTATTCTGCTTTTCAATCTTTATTTTTTCTTATATTTCTTATTATTTTTTGATTGACTTTAAATGAGAGAGAGAGATCAATTTGTTGTTCCACTTATTTATGTAGTCCTTGGTTGCTTTTTGTATGTGCCCTGGCTGGAGATGGAATCAGCAACCTTGGTGTATCCGGACGATGCTCTAACCGACTGAGCTACCCAGCCAGGACCTCTGCTCTTCAATCTTCGATCTAAGTACAACTGCTTGATTCTGTCTCCTGTTTGAAGAGAAGTTAGTAACATGCCCAAGGTCCGATCATTGATCAGTGGCAGAGCTGGACCCGAGTCCAAATCTCTGGACCTTAGTTCAGTGCCCTTTTCAGACATAGGGCACTGATCCCTTTTATTTATTTATTTATTTATTTATTTATTTATTTATTTATTTATTTATTTATTTATTTATTTATTTTCCAGCTAGCATATATCTCTGGACAGACTTCCAATAGCTGCGCCAAGTGTACTTCCAGTTCTGTTTTACAAAAATATGGAATGAAAATCCATGCTTAGACACCAGTCGGTAAATAAATTAGATTTCTATTGTTTATACCCAATGATTCATCATAGCACTACTCTAGGTGAGTGTTTCTTAATATTTTTACATTATGATCCCATTTATAAAACTGAACAAACTATTTTGGGGAACTGTCTTTTGATCAAGGGCCCATCCATCCATTCTCTCTAGAGAGGACCAAACAGCATCATAGGATCTCAGGGCTGGCAACATGTTTACAGATTATTTATCCCAATGACATGACAAAACCACAGAATGAAACGGAGGTGGTGAGGCACCTGTTTCTGAATAAGCTCCTGTCCTTTCTCTGGATGCATATGTACAAGGTTCAGCTGTGGGGAGACTGACCTCCGGAAAGGATAAATATCCCGAACGTAGGTCTGCGATGGGATTACACAAAGGCAAAAAGAGAGCAAACGATTAAATGTTTAATCTCATTTCCTCTTTAGGTCAGACAAACACAAGTTATGTATTTTCTAATGGTTTTGATTCTTACTACTTTACATTCCCCAATTCTATAAAATTCCAAGGCAGGAAAAACCCCTCCTCAGGAAAGCTTCGAATCACCCAGGCTGAGTACTCTCTCTAAACACCAGGGTGCTGTCAGGAGACAGGAGCCAAAGGCAGTTTAATCAATGACATTCTGGAAGGAGGTCACTGTAAAGTGACGTCGGTGATCTTTCTGAGGCCCCCTTTTGCTCATTAGATCAGGTCACGCAGATTATGCCTAGCATCATAGAAAAGGGAATCAGAAAAACATTAAAATTCCCAATAGACACACATAGTTGTTATATGGGCAGCTGAGTTTTACATCTAGACTTACTAACAATGAGTCACTAAGTGCTTTACTTGGCTTATCTCCTTTAATTATCACAACCCTATAGTAGGTACTATTTTCGTCTTCTTCATTTTGCAGACAAGGAAACTGAAGGCTACAAAGGTAAAGTGGCTAGTCCACAGCTACCTGGACAGTAAGGCTGTGCGACCTAAGTGGCCATACTCCTAACCTCTAAACAACAATGCCTCCCTGAGTACACGCTGCCCTCAAAAAAGGCATGACAAGCTTTTGACTCCGCCGAACATGAGTGTCATTACTACACAGTCTCACCTTATTGTAGTGGATAAGGTTCCATCGTTTATCCATGAGAAAATAATGGGTTGACTGGGATTCTGGGATATTAAAAAACTCCAAACACTCCTAGAACAATAACAATAAATTTTAATAAATGTTTATTGAGAACATATTATGTGCCAGGTAGTAAGCTAAAAAATGCAAATATTATAAAAACAAGGTAACTTCTTATAAAGATTTTATATATATGTGCATGTGTGTATATATATCTTATACACTTCTTATATATTATGTATGCGTGTGTGTGTGTGTAGATACACACTGGATTTGCATATGCAGTTATTCAAAGAATGATATAATAAAGGCTACTAATATGATATAAACCATCTACTCCCATAGTGCTAAAAGATGTACAGTGATAATTCAGACTGAGTAAGAAACTGTGGAGGCACAGTGGCATCTACTAGTCTCAATATTGGGAAGAAAGCAGTTTAATAACAACAGGAAGAGTAATACAAACTACACTTGAGCACTTATTATACACTATAGTCTACGTTCAACGTTCTCGTGTAGATTACTTGCATAACCTGCACTAGTATCCCAGTACTGTTGAAAAAGAAACTGACAGTAGAGAGGTCCTGTTATTTGATGTAGGTCATACTGGTTGTGGTGGAGCCTGGGTTTGGACTCACTCTGCCTTCAAGTTACCCTACCATCCAATGCAGAGTGGAAAGATGGAGTGATTGTTGAATTTTGCTTCATTGGGCCTTAGCAATTCTCTGGCGATGTCTGGGTGAGGCCTGAAGGAGGCTTAACAACCTTTTCTACTGAAATGAAATATACAAGTTTGGCAAAACTGAATTTTTTGGAGGCCTTTTCTACTTATGTCGCTGCCTGGAGTTGTGGACTCCACATAATAAATACCAGTGATCAGAGGAAGTACACAATAGTGGAAAGGATTCTAGAAGAGGTAAATAGATGCATATATTTGTTTGAAAATAGAAAAATCCCATTTAATTCTAAGCTAGATGATCAGGGAAGTGGCCATAGTCATTGTGCCATTAAAATATCATTTCTGTCAAAGTCACCCCTACCTTTAACAGGGCTTCAAACTGAGTGTCTTCATGAACGGGTAACTGGGTTGGAATATCACACTCATTCTGTCCATGAACTACCAAGGTTTTGGTACCTACAGAAGGGAAAAAGCATAATAAACTGACTTCTACTATAGAAAAAAGCACAAAAATTAAATATTATCTATAAGCCGATATTTTATTGTTATAATTATTACATTAGTGTTTAAATTGAATTGTGTTGTGTACCAACTGCACTCCTTTATTTATAGTTAAATATATATTCACTTATTAAATAATGATAACCACCATTTATGCATGGAGTTCTTAACACTTTCATATGTGTTTTATGTGCATAATTATATTTAAATCTCACAGCAATTCTATGATATGGGTATTATTTTACATCTTACAAGTGAGGAAAGAGCACTTATTCTTATAAGTGAGAACTTATAAGAACTTATATGTAACTTATTCAAAGAAACATTTATTTAGTCGAAGAGTCAGAATGTAAACCTTAAGCACTGCAATAAGAAATATATCCTATATTTTAAATTAGATAATCAGGTAATAACTTGGCAAAATATAAACAGATATATTAGCAAAACCAAAGCAAGTACCTTAAATGTAGCTTAAGTGTACATTTTCTGTGTTCTACTTAGCCAATGAGACAGTACTTGTTCTACTTCATTCACTAATTCTAAATTTTTGTGAGCATTATGATATACCTTGGTTTTTAATGAGTTGCTTTTAAGTATATGAATGACTATGAGTTTATTTGCTATAATAAAAACTGATCTCTTTGGTGAATTGAATTCAACAAAGATTATAATCTACAGAAAATAATACCCATATTACAGAGTTGCTGTGAGATTTGAATATGATTATGCACATAAAACACATGTAAAAGTACCCATGTAAATACACAACCTATGTACCTACACAACCGTCATTTATTAAATGCTTACTTGGAGTCAGGTACAGCAGTTGAGTATTTTACATACGTAAACTCGTTTATCCCTCAGGATCGTGAACTATGATTACATCCTTATTTTACACATGAGGAAAGCAAGCTTGAAAAACTATGAACTTTTTCGTAGCTAATACTTATTATACAGACAATAAAGGGCAGTTCTATGATTTCAACACAGGCTTCTTTGCTGCTAAAACCTATGTTTTTATATAGAATTTTGGCTTTCTCTTTACTTCAATACATGTATCATCTCATATTTTCTTAGTCACTGAACAAGGATAAAGGCTTGGCAAAATTTTTATCTTAAACAAAGACAAGCTATCTAAAGTGGAAAAATAACTGTATCCTAGAGTTTACATCACACTACATGTTCCTTTGTAATTCTCTTCCTGCTTCTCCCTTTTCCCATTTTTCATAAAGCCATCTCTCATTGAGTTTACAAAGAACTGGGGTCCATGCCATGCAAACAATATTACTCTCCTTGCAGTGCCAAAAACTCATTCAAAAAGGCTTTCAGCTCAGCTGGCCCTCTGCGATAGACTTAAATAAATCTGCAACCTTGGCAGCCCTTCAAGGACTGATTCACGGGGATCTCAGTTCTGATGTCTCCCTTTTCATCTGGCAATTGCTGACTCTTAAAGGGTCTATTGTATTTTTTCAGATTGTATTAAACAAAAATTCTTTGAAGCACTCAACACCAGGGTCAGGACTCTGAAAATTTTCTCATGAATGAAAGAGATGCTTGGTCTTTAAAAGGGTTATTTAGAACAAAATAAATGAACAAACAAGATAGAAACAGACTCATAGACACAGAGAACAGACTAATGGTTGCCAGAGGAGAGGAAGGTTGGGGGCGCTGGGTGAAAAAGGTGAAGGGATTAAGAAGTACACATTGGTAGTTATAGAATAGTCACAGGATATAAAGTACAGCATAGGGAATATAGTCAATAATATTGTATTAACTATGAATGGTGCCAGTTGGGTACTGGAAATATTGGGGGGGACCACTCTGTAAAGTACATGATTGTCTACCCACTATGCTGTACGCCTGAAACCTATACAAAATAATATTGACTATAAACTATAGAAAAATAAAATTGAAAAATAAATAAATAAAGGGGTTACTCATAGTCTTAAAGAAAAAGTTAAGTTGCCCAAAAGCAGTAGCAGATTACCTGGCATTGAAGCGGTCACCAGGAGCTTTACCTCACACTGCTCCTTCTTCATGGTCTGCTTCAGATCTTTGAAGAAGAGGCCCTCTACATAACCCACCACCTCCCACAGGAAGGTCAGAGTGGCTGAAATGGCATCCATGCCCCACTCGCAGGGCGTCCGCACGAAGTACATGATTAACCCCACCTACGAGGCAGAACAGGGAGCGTTCACGAAGCCACAGTGATCTCTGTTCAAATGCTTCTCCAAAACTCTCAATGGCAGTAAGCAGGAGAGGGTGCAGCTGGAAAACTGACCAGAATAGACGGCTGCCCATTTTTATGTATCACTAAAAATGGTTATGTCTTAAGATCATTTTTCCAGACTTCAAGTCACTTGGTAGCTCAGGTACTGAGGTGACCTGAAAATAATCTCTATATGATGTTTGCCCAAACACTGTGGGGCAGCTTGGATTATGTCTAATGGTCTGAACCTAAGAACTTGCTGCTTAGCGAAGTCAGTGAACTTGAAAGTCTTCGTTTGCATCCTCTCATAACTTTGAAAACTGTGTGCCCTTTTGTAGATTTAAGCTGACATTGAAAATGTCTCATAAGTTTATTTTTTGTTAATAAGAATAGAATATGTTAAACATTCTATACATTGAAATAAGAGGAAGACTGACTGTAACTGGAACGTGTACCTCATCAAATTTGATGAAATAAGCTTTAACTACCTTATTCAATAATGCACAACAAAAATCAGGAAAAAAATGTAGAAGTGGCTTTTCTCCATTGTTTCTTGAAAAACTTGCTAATCCAATAAACCTGTCCAGTTACAGTGAAAGAATCAGTGTCACAAACCTAATCAGAAGGCTGAATAGCCTAATGAGGGCCAGAGCTCAATGCTCATAGAAACCTATAAAAGACAGGAAAAGGCGGGAAGTCCTATAGATTCTAAGTGCCTTGATCAATCAGGAATGAGGCTTCCTTAAAACTGACGCAGTGCAACAGATTCCTTCTCTGCCTAGCGCGTCTGCCAGTCGCAGCCTGGCGACATCTGTGATGGTCAGGGTGGGCCTTTCTGTGTACAGCAGGGGAATGATGGTTGAGATGGCGGGTGTGCTTGAAAAGTGCTAGGATATATTTGTAAGATGAGGATTTGGAGACTTATTCCCTTAAAGCTTTCTGAGTAACAAACCACTTCAAAAGTCTTTACATACCCCCAGATGTGCTCATACCCCAGGTTGAAGGTCTTTGAGCCAAGTTAAATGAAGGATTTAAATGTCCCTAACAAAGTCTGGAAGAGATGGGTTAGTGTTCCCGACATCCCCACCACACACATCTGTAATAGTTGTTAGAAAGAAGATGTATAATAAGGGTAATGATTTAAAAATGACTCTGCCTTTCACTGTTTGCCATTCTGAGTACAAGACCCTTTCCCTAAGTCCATTGAAAATATCCATGTGCCTGGGATTCAGGGGAAGATTAGGGTTGAGACAGAAATGCAGAGACAGAAATTTATATTCATGCAAAACAAGATTATATAGCACGGCCAAAGTATTGTCAGCCCTTTTGTCTATTTGCTTATGAATTACTTAGCTGGGAGGACTTACATCTACCATTAAGGCATATTTGGAGTTGACAGGAGAGTATGGCAGAAGGGAAATGAAACGTCCATTTTCTTATCCCAAGGCTAAAAGATGGAGGAGGGCAGCGGTCCAAGGAAGCATCTCCCCTATCCAGTGACCTGGGAATGGGCAGGCACACTGAGGGGGCTCTTGCCTTTAGTCTGTTGGGTGTCTGAGACTTTCCACACCCACATGGATGCAGCATAAACTTGGCAGAGCACATACTTAAACTGAGGGAGGCCCTGATATCTGGCTGTGATGACCTACCTTTGGCTTTTGTGTGATGTAGACAGGATCAAGAAGTGTCAGAAAGCTCAGCTGGAGAGCCTTCTAGATAGACTTGGCATAAGCTGGTGTCACTTATGTAAGATGCTCTAGCTGGAGCCATGTGGAACTCACTACCAGAACTCAACAGGAGCTGAGGTGAGGTTGAGTCCCCCAGCAATCACCACTGGGAGCAGAGGGACCCCAAGTCACAGCGGCCATGGGCTTTGGCTCCCACTGGCTGGGCATCCAGCAACCAGTCACATAGAGAGCACTGTCTCATGAAGGGAGGAGCCAGAGCAAACGGTGAATAAGGGATAGAAAGCTGAACAAAGGTCTTTTAATTTCCAACTTCACATGACATTTAAAGATGAAAGCAGTTGGAAAGGAAGGGAATTCCTAGAAACTGAGTATTTTTAGCCAAGAGAGATTGAACGCTATCCAAATGCACCATTTGTATATTTTTATCAGTCTGAACTTAAAATTGGATTGGACGTGATTTTTATTATTTCCCTCGTCAACCAGCAGGTGGGCACTCAGGAGGAAAGCCAAATCAGTCATAGAGAAGAGAAAGGAATTACAAATTTTCTCTGCACATCAAAGTTGCGGTGTAAGTTAAATTTATAATTCTGCTACAGATGTATATGAATAACCCTTCTATTTCCCAGCCTGCTAGAAGACCAATGATAGTGAGAGAGAAAGAAGAGTTTCTCTCAGCGTAGAAATTTACTTGGCCATCTGTCTGCCTGGATTAAGGTGCAATTTCAAAGAACAGGCATTATGTCAACAGTTCCCAAACCGCACATTCATTTAGGGTGCAGGAGAATACAAAGAAACTGGTAAATCCTGGAGGGTTCATGAAGGCGCTGTCAGGATGGCTTAAAGGACAGATAGTTGCCATGTAAAAGTACACTCACAAATACCTTCCACCTAGGACAACATTTCCTCCTGTGTGTGTGTGTGTGTTTTAACAGTGAGAGAAGAAAAGGGAAAAAATGACTAAAAATTACACGTAAGCTTCCTTAAACCAAAATTAGGAACTAACATAAGGAAGCTGTATAATGCACAAGGAAGACAGAGAGAAAAACTGACACTTACTGAGTACCTACCACATGCCAAGGACTGTGCCAGGAGAGGTCTCTCCATATACACAGTGGTGGGTTTAGCTGACTATGATATTTAGCTCAATATGATTCACCTTTAGTCACATATTAATGGGAATTTATTGCAAAAAAATCTCCTAAGACCTTTTCTCGAGTTGCTGCTTCCTACTTGGAAATGAACATTTATAACCTATTAGGGGCTGAAACTCACCAAGTAGTTGAACAGGATGTGAGATGTCTGAGCAGGAAAGTCTCCAATATTCAGGAGAAGCTTGCGCAGCATGTACATTAACTCATCCTGAAAGAACAGAATTCTACGTCTCATTCAGCTGCCATGCTGTAGGAAGTAAAATCAACTTCTTGAAAAGTAGGAGGGTGGAGATTCCCTATTTTTGCCCACATTTGATTTCCATTATGTTCAACATTTTATCCTCTGTGTGATACTTGTTACATAGTATTTAAACCAGCTCTGACACCTTCTCCTAGGAGATAATATATGAAATCAGACAACTTTTTTAAAAAAATAAAAATTTAGACTGTCTGCAGGTCACAGGCAAATCAAGGGAAAGAGGCATATTTCATCAACTCTGTTTGCTATGGCTGCCAGGTGTGATGAAAATGTGAGGAGAGCCTATATTGAGAAACCATTAAACAAACCAGGTTTATTGAACTTCATAGTTCTGCTTCCTAGGTTTTGCATGAAAAAGATAAAGGTAGGCCGAGAGAGGATAACCAAAAATGCAGTTAACCTTACCTTTCAGAAGCTAAACTAGAAAGTAAACAGGACCATACCAAAGAAATGAGCAAATAATTTTTAATCATCAGTGAATTTTACCATCGCTCAGAAAACTACTTAATATTTGGCACAGTCTTCTTACAGGGTGGACAATTAAATTAGAATTTTTGATTAATGACAAGTTTCAACATATTGTAATAACCCCACCTGCATCCACCACAGACTACCAAGAAATCAGAATTCAATAGATGTTCCCAGGACTAAGAACATACTGAATTTAATCTTTGTTTAAAAGACTGAGAATCTGTCGGTATCTTAAGGTCATCATTACCAGTGTACCTACACTATGGAGACATCAGTTAATGAAGAAATTAGAAACAAAACAGTAAAGTTTAATATTGCTCATCCTTGTCATTATCATAAGACATTGACACTGCATGCACAGCACTATGTAGTCCATTGCTTGCTTTTAACAGTGTTCATGCACTTAGCTACACTATATATATAAAAAAGAGGAATTTACTTGTCTATTGCTGATGGTCAGTTTTTCCAGAAAATGTCGAAGAACTGTTGATGGATCTTCAATTAGACAATTCCACAAGACTTGTTGGGCCACAGCACTCACTTTAGAAGAAAAAAGAAATTGACCATTTGTCTTAAATGGAAATAAACCTATTCGATAAAGTATTCAAACAATTTACTAAGCTCTAATTAGTCTCTCCTTTTTTGCCTTAAAAAAGTTGTTTTTTTATTGAAAGGCAAATATTTGTTCTCTTTGTTGTTGTTTCCGAACATTTGAACCTGTAAAGAAAAGGTAACAAACACACATAGGATGATTTTTAGGTATTAGCATTACTATCGTAAAGAATACATTTGTGATATATAATGGAATATCATTCAGCCATTTGTGACAACAGGTTTGGACTTGGAGGGCATTGTGCTAAGTGAAATAAGCCAGATGGAGAAAGACAAAGACTGTATTTTGGTTTTACTAGTAAAACTGTACCTGCTACTCCATCTTCCCGCACCTCCCCATCCTCCATGAGATGAACAATGGGGAGCACTGCTGCACAGATGCACGCTGGGAACACCGCCTGGGGGGGCTGAGGCACGTGGTGGTTTGGCGTGTGTTCAGTGGTGTGCTCCTCATCTGAAGCAGGAGACATAATTGGGGTGCTTTTTTTCAGTACTGTAATTCTAATGCGACAACACTTCTCAGTTCAAGGCCTATGCATTTAACATTCTTTGGTATATAGATATCCCAGCATCATTTGTTGAAAAGACTTTTTCTTTCCCTGATGAATTTTCTTGGTACCCTTTCCAAACATGAAATTGATATAAATGTAATGGTTTACTTCTGGTTGTTCAAATCTATTCAATTGATCTGCCTGTCAAGCCTTATGTTAATGCCACAGAATCTTGATTACTGCAGGCTTGTAGCTAAGCTGTGAAATTGGGAAATGTGAGTCCTCCAGCTTTGTTCTTCATTTCCTAGATTATTCTGGCTGTTCAAGGATGTGGAGCAACTGGAACCCTCATACTTTTTGGTAGGAAAGTAAAATGATACAGCCACTATAAAAATAGTTGGGTAATTTTTCTTGCAAAACTTGCACATAACTGTTCATTGCAGCATAATTAATAATAGCCCTAAAATGTAAACAACCCAAATGTCCACTAACTGGTGAACTAATGAAATGTGGTATATCCATATAACGGAACATTATCTGGTAATTTAAAAATATGAAGAAGTGGTAAGTGCTACAACATGCGACAACCTTGAAAATATACTGAGTCAAAGAATCCAGTCAAAAAAGGCCCCATATTGTATGATTCCATTTATATTAAACACAGAGAAAAGGAAAATCCATAGAAACAGAAATATTATTTCTTGTTAGGACTTTGGGGAAGCAGTGGATGAGAAATTACTACTGATGGTATAGGGTCTCTTTACAGGGTAATGAAAATTTTCTAAAATGAGATAGCGGTGATGATTGCACACAGTGAGCATACTAATAACAACTGCATTACATACTTCAAAAGGGTGAATTTTATGGTATGTGAATTATATCTCAATAAAGGTGCCGTAAAAAATATAGATGTGCCTTGGGCTCCATCTCCATGAGTTGTGATTAATTAGCACTGGTCAATTTTGAAAGTTCCCCAGGGTTGTGCAGCCAAGGGTTGAGAACCATTGGTTTCTGTGCAATTTTTTAATATGGCTTTATAAATCAGTGATAAAATTTGCATAATCATGAAGCAATGAGTGCCAGATAGCTGCTCATCATTAGAGGGAGCATATTTTTTAAATTCTTGGGACTGAAGAGCATCACATTTCCCCCCTGGAATCAGATTTCATTACAGGTATAGCATGAGCTTTGGTCTTTCTTTGGTTGTTTAATGATTCCAGAACAGCATCTTAAAGCATCCTACTGGGTCTTGGCCACACACTGGAGTGCCCTGAGTAGATTTTAAAAATACTGATGTGTGGATCCCATCCTTAGAGATTCTGATCTGGTCCCGGCTGTGGTTTGAGCATTTTTTAAAAAGCTGCCTGGTTGATTTTAATATGTAGCCAGGGTTTAAAACTGTTAAATGGCTAGAATAATGTCTACCGAGCTCTCAGCAATATGATTCCTTGAAATGTAATTAAAATAGAGCCAACTTTTAAAGGACAACTGCTGGGTAAAATCAACAATAATTTTTTAGGCTACCACTCAATCCAATATTTTTTTAGAACTTCCAGTCATGAAACAAGCTATTTGATGAAAGCAGTGTAGTGTCACGAAGTGAGATAATGTTAACTGGAAAATGTTTCAAAACCCACAAGTCACGAGGAATAAATATCACATTTGCAAGAGGACACACCTTCGGCACTGACAGCTGACCGTACCGACCAGACTGACCCTCGGCGGAAGGAATAATTCCTGTGGGAAGTGCTGGAGGTACAGGATGGACTGACAGATAGTCGGCGGGATGCCAGATTGGTGACTTCTTCTACTGGCAAAGAAAATGGGGAATGTGAACTTTGGTTTTATAACAAAATAGGTTATCATCACAACTATAGTTGTACTTACATCACAAGTGTATAGTGCTCTCAGAGCATAAAGCTTAAGTAATTTAAAGTGTACTTAGAAACGGGAAAAAATATATACAGAAAGAGGGAATTCCTCCCAAAGATTCCACAAAAGCAGGGCAGAGAATGGTTCCTGAGTCATTTTCTGACACCAACCAACAAACTGTCTGCACTTCTGAAGGTTGGAGGTAGTTAATATACTAACCCCATTTTAATGATGAAAGATTAATTGCATCTACTTTAATAAACACGCTAGATTCGGCTGTTCCCTGAATCACAGTCACCAATTGGTCCATTCTCAAACTGGTTCATTCAATGTGGCTAACATCTTCCTCTTGAAACAGGCTGACTGTGATCATTTAGAAAACTAAGACTTTTCTCTCTCTTTGGATACTGTTAGGGGGTGAAAGAGAGATAGAGGAAGCATATCACCTCATTTCACATAAAACTATCAATGTTTATTTTAAAGCAAGTCCTTTCCCTTTCCTGTGACTCAGCCCCCCAAGAAGTCCCACGTGTAGAGGGCACCTTCTTCCTCTGGCTCTGAGTTGGGTGTGCAGGTGGGCTCGTAGCAAGCCTCCTGGGTGATGGGGATGGCGGTGATGAGGCTGGCTTCTCGACCAAGACGTTTCTTCTCTTCCTCCTGCTGCAAGTTCTTTAAGATGTGTTCTGCCCTTTGATGGGAGCGGGACACAGCCCGGGCTGAGAAGGATTTCTATGGAGACATGAAGGCAAGTTTATTTAATAGCAACTCTTCTGCAAGGTCACGATGAATTACACAAATGTGGTACTCTGTCCTCAGGTAATGTTAGTGCATCTGTGATCTAATTTCTTGGAGATTTACTTGTTTTTCTACCAAGTTCCCAGGTTGGTACAACTAAGCTATTGTTTTTCACTCAATCAGAATTAATTCTTTAAGAATGTCTGTAATTTCTGAAAAAATCTAATTTCATCTCTAGGATACGGTTTGATATCAATGATTCACTTTTTAAGCATGAAAATCAAATAATTTTTAATACTCTTTCTAAATTTTTTTGAACGTGTTTTAAGTAAAAGTCATATATTTCATAAGCTTAATAAAAGAGAAAGTCAGAATCATGGAAAGGAGGAGGAAAGAGATCTACCTCTCATATAAACCCATTACTTATGTGATTTATTTCAATTTTTAAATTTCAAGTATCTACCACAACGTAAATACATAATACTTGTATTGTAGATAAATACAGTGACACACTATAAATACTTAACAATATTTGTAGAAACAAAGTTACTGATGGAAATTATGAGAGTTGACAGTGTTATAAATTGAATGTAAAATCTGACTGTTTACCAGCAGCTGAGGCATAACAGATGAGGGGACTACAAAGGAGAAAGCATTCACCCTGCACAATGGCCATTCTGTCTGTGCTCAGTCATGATGCTTCTGCTGAGACAGCTGCAAGAGCTTCGGGGACAAAGTCAGTGGCCTCAGAACAGGGCAGTGATCCCTGGAGTTCTTTGCTACCAATACGAAGTAACTTCTGTGTATAACAGTTATTCCACATCTCTTTGTGGCCAGTGGTCATATAGGGTTTCAGGGACAGACAAGAGGTATTGGTCATTCTCCTAAAGGGCTACATTCATACACGTCCCCTTTAAGCAGAATCTTAACATAAGACTAAGGGTTTCCTACAATGAATGGCGCAACAGCAATTTAGGGCCCTTGATGGACCAAATGGCAACTTATTTTCAGAGTCGGGGTTAAGAGAATTTAACCAGGGGACTTGGTTTGAAATTCACTGTGAACTTGGAATAAAAAATGTGCTTGTCTCAAGTGAATCCATCACCTATATGGGAGGACAATAAAAGATCCTTCTGCTAGTGGTTCAGATGATGAAATGACTGCACATAGGGGGGGGAACCAGGTGTGCCTTTTGCTTTGGCAGGAAACTCATCAGATGCAAAGGTACCGTATGCAAAAGAATTAAAATAAAAGATTTTGATGGGTAGAGTTCAAACAAACATTTCCCCAAAGAAAACTATAATGCCTAGAAAATGTATGTGTGATACGCAAAATGTTCAACCCAACTTCGCACATTCAGCTAATCTTTAAATAACTGTAAATAAAAACAGCAAAATTCTGTTTTATTTGCCATTTACAATGGCATTTTAAAAAGCGCCCTAGTTAATTTGAATAAAGAGGCACTCACATGTACACCGTGAAGTCTGGGGGAAAGAAAGTGCCTATTACTCACAGACTGGTCCTCATTAATGGGGTCCTGGACACTCCCGCTGCACTGAGGGACCCATGGGGGGTCAAACATCGGGACAGATGGCATTCCAAGCACTGGCGAGGGCAGGGTGAAGTTTATACTGGGAGGCGGGATCTGTCAGTTGATACCAGAGGAAGAGGTAAGATGGAGAATAAGCTTGAATGAGTCAGAAGTATAATCGCGACATAATCTTACAGAGCAAAGGATGTTATAGAGTATTGGATGAACCTCTCTAGGGCTCAGTTTACTCATTAGTAAAATGAAGGGTTTCAACAAAATGATGCCTATTTTTGTCAATCACCCCATCCTCCAAAAAACATCTCTCTGTGTATATATAGCAAAATGTTTGGATGATTATACACCAAACTTTTAATTGCTTACCTCTGGGGATGATAGTGAGAGCTAGAGGTTTATGGAGACTTGACTTTCTTACTGTATGTTCTTTGATGTTTCATTTTTTTAACAATGAGAAATGATTCATAGCTGAGTTAAGTTTACTTATATAATCAGAGAAACAAAAAAAGAAGCATCTCTTGGGCCATACACTGTGGACATGAGGTTCAAGGATTTCAACAAGCCTTGGTTTGCTAATCTAATTTCCACATGCGAAGGATCCCTCACCTTAAAAATCTGCTGTGCTCCCTCCTCCATCCGGGGCCAGACCTGATAGCGAAACCTCCAGAGTGTGTGGAACTTGAGGACGGCGTTCAGCCTCTGCACGGTCTCCGGGTGGTGGAACTCTGACATCAGCATGTCGGACACGGCCTCGGGGACTTTCACCGCACACAGCAGGAACATGGCAGCTAGAGACAGTCAACAACTCATCAGCTGCACAGCTTTTAATTTTGCTTATTTCCTGGGAATGCAGAGAAGGGGGAATTGCTCCCATCTCCTGAAAATGACTTCTGAGCTCATTGAGCCAGGCCACCACCAACGGCAAAAGCAAACCTTGTTTCAGCCACTGGAAACCAAAAATCATCCTGTGTGTCACCCAGTCTTCCAGTAAATGGGGCGAGGGCAGCGACAGCAGGACATTTCAGTAGAATAACTCACTGTAGGCAAAGTTTCCTTTAGCTCACAGTGAAAAGGGAATGCCAGAGGATGCAAATGAAAAAAGGAAACTGAATATTGAAATACCGTTTTTTAGAAAATAGCTAGAGGCGTCTTATAATAACCCTGGGACAATACATAAAAATGTCTATNACAGTGAAAAGGGAATGCCAGAGGATGCAAATGAAAAAAGGAAACTGAATATTGAAATACCGTTTTTTAGAAAATGGCTAGAGGCGTCTTATAATAACCCTGAGACAATACATAAAAATGTCTATGAAAAACTGTCTCAGTTACATAAGATGTGTTAAAAATAAAATCCACCTTATAGGCTTTATTATAAATTTCTACCCTTCCGAGAGAAAGAAGAGATTGAGAAGCTGAAAGAGATTTCATAAATCATATTACTATTGCTGTTTTTTTTAAATTTCCAGAAAATACAAATGTCAATGAGAGAAAGATCAGGTGCCATGAGTTATAAGGCTAATGAATAATGAGAATATGCATGAATCAGATACAACCGAACAGTTTTAAGAAACTAAGGTTGACTTTATGGAGCCAGTAAAAGCCTCTTGGAAAAAACTGGCCTGGTACCTTGCTTACAGGGTTCCCTGCAGCCTTACCAGGTCAGTGAGGAAGATCACTTCCTGGTAGGCCCAGGAAACTCAGCATATGTTTGGGACTTCAAGAAGAGAGGAATTTACCTAAATACAGGGTAGGGCAAAGTAGGCTTACAGTTCTTCATATGGAAAATAATTGATTACTAAAATAATTGAAAAACAATGGTTACTAAATAATAATACAAGGATAAACTCTGTGTTTTGTATACTGGCAGCTATAAACTTACTTTTGGCCCATCCTCTGTATAGTTATTATAGGTGAAATCTGATGGTGAGTTTTTGGTGTGGCTTCTTAGTCTGTAGAGGCTTTTAAAAGTCAAATCTAAGATTTCTTATGAAAAGTTCCAGCAAAGCACATTTAAAAAGAGGCCAAGCACTATACTTGCTGCACTCATGTAAATGATCCAGCCAACTTTAAAGATACTGGATTTATTTTGCAAACAAATTTGTCTTACTGTGATTGTCTTGGATAGAAATATGGGTGACTGTTGATGAAAAAAATTATGTTTCAGTAAAAAATCATAATATAACTTTGTGGGTATCAGATTCTAGTCCTGTTCATTGTCTGAGGTTTTATTATATATCTGTACACAAAACTGGATCCCAAATTCTTCTAGTTTCCTCAAATATCTGGCTACAGCTCTCCTAACTGACATTTCCAATTTTTCCCCCATCCTTCTGCTTTGGAAGCCCTAAGAACAAAGACTGCCCTTGAACCTGTTTGAAATGAACCATATTAGGTTCCCGTTACTACCCAGGAGGCAGCCAAACTTCAGGGACTTGAACATTGGCTCCACATTTTCCAACTAAAAAGGGCTCCTCCAAATCCCTGGAACTGCACACCAGCTGGAGATCTAAAACCAAAGTCGACCAGGAGGCTCTCCCCCAGAAGCAGATGCCGTCTTGTGGTGAACAGCTCTCTCAAGATCACAGGTCAAGATCTTCACCCTTTTGAATGAATATGAAACCTTTATTTCTTTTGCCTTTTCACCATTTCATTTTTTTCTCTGTTAATGCACCTTAACTCTGGCAACTATTGCTGAATCTACTGCTCAGGCCACAGCTGCACAACAAAAGTCCCTAAAGGTTCTTGCTAAGGTGGTTTTAGAATTATTTACTTGTTGTCTGTGTCATAAAGAATACCTCATGCTGTACCTGGATCAGCACCTCTGGTGTTGCAGCAAATGCAAGAAATTAACACGTAAGCCAGCTGGCTAGTGCCCTTTCAGGTACATTGTTTGATTTATGTGATACCACTGGTTTGGTTCATGGGGCCCCACCTAAGGAGTATCTGTCAGTCTCTTGGTATTATCCTCCTAAGAGTTATCACTGTAGCCTCCCTGGTGTGTTATGTTCTCTCAGAGGTCTTATCTGCATGCTCACAGTCATCAGTAACACATTAGATGGGCTCACTGTGCTTAGAGAAACAGAAATGAGATGAACAGTGGGAGGAACAGCAGAAACAATGCTTCCACGGATCTGACGGCATAACCTATGAGTTTCACAGTGAGACAAAAGCAGCTTAACTCTAATGGTGAATGAGAGTGTGCTAATACCAAATTTTTGATCAATCTCTCATGTATGAGAAGGTGACCAAAAGAGGGAATATGTTAAACTAGTTAAACGAGGAGGCCATTAGACTGATGTGCCTCTATGCCATGGTGGCCTATGTAAGCAAACCAAACCCGAAGCCTGGAAATGCCTCAAGGTTCTAAATCAATACTCTAAGGACAACCAATCCCAAACAGCCAACTGGGCTTTAAGCTACAGCCAATCAATAATTGTCTTACTTTGCTTCTGTCTTTTCTCTATGAAAGTCTCTCTTTGAGCTCCGGTTAGAGAGCTCCTCATCACTTCTGGATTGGCACTGCTCAATTTGAATTGATTTTTGTTCAAGTAAACTCTTAAAATTAGAAAGTGGCCTAGATATAAATGAAAAATGCCAAGTGCATATGGTGTTGTCCTGTTTGTGTAAAAAAGGAAACATGTGAAATCTACATACATACTTACATCCATATATATGCCAGTGTACCCTAGGTGGGTCCTGAGACACTTAAACAGCTTCGCCTCTGGGGAGGGACCGGGGGTCATGGGGAAAAGAGTGATACTTTTAGCTTCATACACTTTTATATTATTTGAATTTTCACCATGTGTACTTTGCAATTAAAAGAAGCATAGAAAACTAAAGAAATATGTTCAAAAAGCAGGAAACAAGTGAAGAACTAACATTTTGCATCTACCATTTCCTAGCTATGTGTCACTTAAATTTTGACAAATTTGTTTTGATATTGTAATTTGGATATAGAACATTGCTCACATAAGATTTACGAAAGTGAAAGATGATGGTTCATGGTAAATCTGGAAAATCAAACAAAAAAAGAATTTTATCATATGAAATATAGTGAAAATGTAGGTTCTGGGGAAAACCATTCTCTATAACTTGGTAGCACCCTGGGAGAGACCCACTGCTCCTGTACAAACTATATAGTGAAATGAAGAGAGCATGTAGAACCTAGGCCTGCCTCCCTGTAGTGCAAAGCTCTGTTTAGAGCTCTAGCAATTGCTGTCCATCTGACCTAGGAGTGAAAATGGAACAAATGTTTAAATACCAGAATGCGTGGCAACAGGACCAGGCAGGTGGTCTTTCCTTACCTGCAGCCCCAGCCATGTGCTCATCCATGCTGAGCAGGAGCTCCCAGGCAGCTGGCTGGATGTCTCCATACATTTCCTCTGTCAGAATTGGTGCTGCCTTGATTAGCAGAGATAAGGGAGCAGGCGACAGGCTCATCACCTGGGGAAAGACAGAAACCATGGCTTCTGAAGCCACTGATTGCTCTACTCCCCTTGAACCCTAAGTACCACTTCTCTGTTGGCTTTCCTTGAACGATCTTAGAATATTTTCTAAAATGGAGCATATTTATTGGCGTGGTGCATAATAAATTTTATACCTTATTTGTTGGTGCATAATTTTTAAAAAATCATACTGATTTTATGATGCTTTCGCCATAACTGATCTGCAAACACCTAAGGAATAAACAGTAGAATGTACAGCTCTAGGAGAAAAAAGTCTCCAGCCAACATATCTGCTGAGAGTCCTGATGGCCTTTCAAAGCATCCTGTTTTCCTTCCTATTAGAAGCTGATTTCCACTCAGAACCATGAGCAGCCTCTAATTTATAAAGGAGTTCTATTCAGAAAGTTAGTTTTCTAAACTAGTGTGAATTTGGATGGCATTTTCCCTTTGAAACACTATTATACTTTATGGTTATTGCCCCAGATTAGCCCACAAAATCCTATTTAATCCATTATTTCAGATAATTTAAGCAATCAATGTATGTCCCAAGCAAGTCTAAGTCTTTAACCATCACTTTAAACACTTTCCAGAAAATCATAAAAAAATAATTTCTCCCTGGGGAAATGTATTATGATTTAATGCTTGGGTTACACTAACAATACATCAAAGCATCAAGCTCTGAATAAGGTAAGTGTACTGTTTTATTAATCCATACATAATCCCTTGAGATGATTCTGGTTATAACCCTTAGAGGATTATAACTAAGACTGAGAGAAATTACGTAACTTGCCCAAGGATGGGTGCCAGAGAGGCAGAATCGGGATTCCAGCCCAGACCTGTGAGCACTGTCATCACATGCTGATGGGAAATTAGCTCCATTGGTGTAGGGAGAAAGGGAAGAGGCACTGTTACAGCCAAGCTCCCAAAACCGTCTCAATGGAAGTTGGCTGTCTGGCAAAGAGGGATATTTTCCTTGCACACTTGGTGGCACCCTTGTTCACAGGTTAAAGGGGCCATTGTGTCAACACTGTCCCAGTTGGCACTGTATGTCCCAAACATTAGCAAACAGGGTATCTGGAACCCCCTCCCTGTTACAGCTCCACAAATGCTTCTGATCCAGGCGTCAATACCTGCAGTCTGATGTATTTCAGCATCCCAGAGTCTTTCTTCCCTTCCAGGTTGGCATCTGAAACTCTCTTCTTCAGAGAAGGTGTCCTCAGGCATGACTTATCTGAGCACTGGAAAGTACAGGGATAAGTCACGAAGAGTGTTGTGCTCTCTCCAAAACCAACAGTGCAATTTCCCCAAATTCTCCAGACAACCCTCTTCATCTCATTGGAGAGATGATTTCAGACTTTTTTGTGGTGCCACAATTTTTGAAAATTAAAAGCAGTTAATTTTGTAATAAAAAGAAAGCTTAGAGATATTTAGCAACAAGCTCTTCTTTATCACTGAGGAAACTAGGATCCAGAGAGATGAAGTAACTTGACCAAGGTGCAAAGCTGGTTATTAGCAGAATAAAAAAACAAGGACCTCCTGACTTTCATTTTAGTGTCAATTATATTCCACCGAGCTGCTAAAACACAAATCTTTTGAAATATTAAGTCAGTTAAAATCCACTCTACTTAAGAATTCCTTTATAAGGTTGGATGTTAAGAGTCAACCATTTGGCCCGGCCGGGCGTGGCTCAGCGGTTGAGCATCGACCTAGGATCCAGGCAATCGGGGTTCGATTCCCGGTCAGGGCACATGCCCGGGTTGTGGGCTGCAGCCGATCAGTGACTCTCTCATCACTGATGTTTCTATCTCTCTCTCTCCCCCTCTCCTTTCCTCTCTCTGAAATCAATAAAGATATAGTTAAAAAAAAAAAAAAGAGTCAACCATTTGGTCATGCAAGAAGGAAAATATCTCAGGGAGGAGAATTAGAAAGTAAAGATAAAAGACTTCTCTGGGAAGAACACGTTCATAGCACCTGTCATCTAGGCCTAAGTTGCACAGGTAAGCTGGCTTCTTTAAAAATCCATACTCATCAATAGGAGGCAGCAGTTTCTTGCAAACTGGTCCCTGAACCAGGGTCCAAGTATAGGCCTGATTCGTCTGCGTAAACACAGAGGAGGGGACAATGTCCTCCGGATTCCCTAAATGCCAAGGAATGGAGTGGAAGGAGCAGCTGGGAGCATGATCGGTCCTAACGGTGACAGGCCCTTGTTTATTTATCCTGAGTATGGATTCTTCTTATTTTTGCACTCCAGCTGTGCAAAGAGGGATCCATCCCTTTGTACGGAATAAATGCTCATTTGTTTTTCCAGTGCCATGTCAATGAAACACTTTCTCCCTCAATGCCAAAGGGAAAAACTGAACCCCTTAAGAATTTTGAACAGTGCACCACAGTGTTATAGATGGAGATATTTTGAAAGAAAAGGCAAATCTAAAAGTACATGCATGTTCCAAGAAAGTCTTTCAAAACTCTTGACAAAAAAGACCCAAGACAGCGCATCTATTATGTAACTTGTATGGAATGAACTCTTAAAATGAACCTACTTGGAAACTAATCAGAATTTGCTGTGTTTTCTAAAGGTAAAAACTTGGAAGCACATACTTGGGTGCACATTTGGGGAGAAAAACCTTCAACATTTTCTGTGAATAGAAAGCAATATACAGCACAAATATCACGCCTAATTTTTATAATTTGAACAGTTCTAAAATTATATGTGACAATCATTTTCCATATAAATACAAAGAATGATTGTCACATATAATTTTAGAAGCATAACTTTTTAAGAAGTCAAGTCATTTTAGAAGTGGCATCTCTCTTTTATTCGATTTATAAAACAATACATACAAATTGCAGAATATCTATAAAACACAGAAAAATATATAGAAGAAAATAAAAATGCCTAAAATCCCAACCCAGTGAGGGTCCTTATTGGTTTCCTTTTAGACTTTTCCCTCTTATGCATCTAACACAACTGTAAGGATTTTATGGATGTGGTACACCATTGAAACAATTCATTTCACTATGACCTTATAACAAATATTTTCCAGGTCATTACAACGATTTTAAAACATGATTTTTTTGAATTTTGTAAATATTTCACCCTTTTCTCCTTTGTCTGGATATTTTTAAATGAAAAATTTCCTTATTATCAACATTAAAAATTTATTTTAATAAACACCAGTCAGAATTTTTGAAAAGTGTGACTTTTTTCCTAACATTTAAGTGGAAATTTTTAAGTCCAGAATTATTGTTCATTTTTAAAATGAACCAAAAGAAGTGGAAAACACATGATGAGATATTGAGATGTCCGGATATTTTGTCTTTCTCAAGGTTACTTATGAAAAACACTTCTTGATTAAATTATAGGAATTTTAATCAAGCAGATAAAATACTCAGCTTAGAAGAAAAACCATGAACATTTATGTTTGTCTCTGACACTGGGAAATGTAAGGTTCTGTTTAATACTACCTACTGGAAATAGAAGGTGTAAGTCAAGCTTCTCAGATATCAACTATATAATATTAGTTTTCTTAGAAAGCATGGTGTGTTCTGGTGGCCTCATGATAATTAGGATGCTCATTTTAGTGGAAAGGGAAGGAAGGTGGAAGGGCTTTCAAACTAATGTGAGGGACTAGTCACTCTTCCTGAATGACCTGTTCATGCTTGAAAGATAGATATCACAGTGGGTTCATGTGTGATGGACACTTGTATACACTATGTGAAGGTCCTAAAATCCCTCTACTGGTGTGACCCCTAACTCAAACTAACAAGGCCATTATCAGTTGCTTCTTGCTTTGGTAACTTGGTATAAAACTTAGAAGACAACTAGGAACTGAATGGAGTAGGAGGCTGGTTCTGAAGGTATCTATTGGTTATTAGTGGTTCTTGGAAAAATTAGAAATTTCACTGAACTGCGAGGTACACATGGAGGTTGAAATTACACACCAAGCAGGGACCTGTAAAGAAACCCAAGACCAAAAGCCAGAACTTATTACTAATAGAGGATGCCATTGATTGTCGAGTCAGTCTACCAGAGGGAGCACAGTCAGTGGGAGGCAGCTACACAGTCCCAAGAGCTGCCAGGGATATTGGGGGGAATGCTTGCTATGGGATGGTGTAGAAATTGAACTACTGTCAATCTCTTCTCTACATATGTCATAGACATATTCATTGACTCCCTGTCTTCTCTCTTCATCCTGACCACCACTGATTAAATTGACAACGCAAAACCAATTCTTTGACTGGTCAGGGATCTATCACTTGTGATGTCTGGATCAAAAAGAGAAGCGTTGAGCCCACCAAATACCTGTCCTTGGTGATTAAGGGACCTTGAGTTGGCTTTATGTGGTGATGGTTGCTGGGGCTGAGAAGTTATGATCCAAATTTGGGATTTTCAGTTTAAGTACAAGATGAAGAAAGCAAGGGGAGCTGGTCAGGGGACAGAGATGAGTGAGCAGATGGAGATGATGCAGAAAGAAGCGGAGATGAGAGACTGTGTCTGTCCTGAGAAGAACAGCAGCCTTGGTTCTCATTCCTTGGAGGCGTGGCTGTGTTTCTCGTCTGTCCCTGGTTCTGTGAGATTCTGCTGTATTCTTTGAAGAAACTTTCTAATTACTCGAATACATTTCAGTTGGTTTTTGTTCCTTACAATGAAAGATTATTGACTAGGGAGGCATAATAATTATTTTAAATAAAAATTTTATTTACCTACTTAGTAATTCAAAAATATTTATTGAATTAACCATATGTCAGGGACTGAGTTAACCTTTGGGTATATGCTTAGAAGCAAAGCACCCACAATGTTTGCCCTCGTGGAAAGCGTATCTACCAGGAAAAACAGAGAGCAGCTTTTACCCTCTTTTCATTGTTGGCAGAAAGGCCAAAAATTTTATCTACTCCTTTTTTTCATCAGCAAGCACTAATTAAAGACTTACTCTGTTGAGAACATAGCATTAGGCAGGTACAGAAATGTAGGAAGAATAAAATAATTCTTTGGTGAACTTGATATATATATAATGATAATTTATAAAAAAAAAACCCTTAATTTTGGAAGTGCACTAAAATAGACTAACAGGTGTACAGTGAGCCTCTGAGCACTGAGATGCAGATGAGCAGGGTAACTAGAGTGAGCTAACAAAATGTATTAGGCCCAGCCGGGCGTGGCCCAGCCGTTGAGCGTCCACCTAGGATCCAGGCGATCAGGGTTCGATTCCCGGTCTGGGCACATGCCTGGTTTACGCGCTGCAGCTGATTAATGACTCTCTTGTCATTGATGTTTCTCTCTCTCTCTATCTCTCTCTCTCCCTCTCCCTTTCTCTCTCTGAAATCAATAAAGATATATATTTTTTAAAAATGTATTAGCTGCCACACACACATTCTGCCATAAAACCAGTCAAAAAGGAAACAGGAACCATATACCAATTGGTCATATGACTTGATTTTACTCAGACCACTGCTTTCATTCTTGATTTATTGCCTACTCTGTTTTCCTTTTGGTTCTGTGGGCATTGTTCACGGATATGACAGATTCAGAACAGGCAAATGGAAACATCATGGGAAGGAAAAACCAAACAGAGCTTGAACAGGAGGCTGGCATTCTGGAAATGAAATGTTTACTGAGAAGACTCAATACATCTTTTCAGCTCTCTGCCTGTGTGACTAATTTCAATGAGTTAAGAAGAGCGGACACTCAGTTCTGCTTTGCTTTCTCTTTTCCTTTCAGAAATGTAAGCAATGCAGAAGGTTGGTAAACCCTTTCTGCTGCTTCAGCCCAGTGTCCTGGTTGGGCCAGAGGTGGGGGGCACTCACGAAACATCCCAGAACTAGATGGCCCACTTAGTTATTCAGTATTTACTCTCACTCTGCTCTAAGTGAGGCATCTGTTAGATATCACATGGGGTACAAAATGTGTAAGACTGCCTCAGTTCTCAAGAAGTTTATAATTAAAGAAGAGGAGAAACAGGTATGTCAATAGCCCCATTTTGCAGACAGAGTGATTTTTAAACCTCTCAGTGCTTGCCACGAGCCCAGGATAAAGAACAAAATGACTTCCCACGGCCTGGGGAGCCCTGCGAGGTCTGGTCTCTCTCTGCCCGTGCAGCTTCATCATGCACCACAGTCCTCTGTGCTCTAGCCGCGGTTCTTCGTGCTCATTTCTTCTCTGTGGTTGGAAAATTCTGTATCCAATTAACACCTGTGCATTATCAGTCAAGGCGCATCTGTCACTTTATTGGAGAGGCTGCCATATCTCCCCTGACAAGTTCAAAGCCTTGTTCAGAAGCCCTTGCAGCACAGTGTGTCTCTCCTTCATTATGCTTATTGCTGTTGCAATTTTACGTCAGTTTAGGAGGTTTATTTGATTAATGTCTGTCTCTCTGACTAGACCGTGTACATCATGTGAGGGCAAGGACTATATCTCTTTTGCCCACTATTGTACCCATCGCATAGTATGGACTTGGCATGGTCCATAGGTTCTTTAAAAATCTGTTTAATAGACAGGTGGCTGGATCAATCGATGAGTGATTAATTAAATGAAGAATCATAAAAGGACAAGGAAATGCCTCACACAGATGCTTCAAAAAGATACTCAAAGATCCTATCCCTTAAATGAGATGCATGAAATACACATATTTTTCTTTAGGATCTCTTGTATTACCAAAAAATTTTTCAGTGAACCCATGCTGCTTTCATAATAAAAAAAAAAATCTTAATTAAAAAAAATCCCTTTGCGAGCTAAAACATTACAAATTGCTGCACAACTCAACTGTGACATTTTTATTCTTGCTCATGTTCTCTAGTAGTTTGATTTCTACAAAATTGTCATTCCCCCAACTCACCAAACCTGGCTTGCCAAAGATCCTCATCTCGTACTTGTTTATTTTTTGTATCTCCCAGAATATCTGGCCTAATACTGTGCCAACAGCAGGTGCACAATGAATGCTCATTGAAATGAATAGGTATTATATAAAAATCTCTTTGCAGAACCACTTGGGAGAAGCAGCTGCACGGGCCGCCAGCAGCACTCAGTCGGGCATCTTGGCCATCACGCCTGCTCAGGGGCAGGTGGGTAGCCCAGGGCCACCCTGGCAGGAACAGGGCAGCAGGCTGCTGACTTCATTTTCTGCCAGCTCAGCTGTCAGGAAAGTGCAGCTGAGTGCTCAGAAAACCTAATAGTTTCTTGAAGGAGTTCCTAGGTCTGATTTGACCTAGATTACTTTTACCTAGTTATCTGTGAATAGTTGGATCATTTATTACTTATTTCTTAATACATGATGGTATCAGTTTCCTATTGTTGCTGCAACAAATGACTACAACCTTCATGTTTTAAAACAACACAAATGTACTATCTTACAGTTCTGAAGGTCAGAAGTCTACGATGGATTGGCAGGGCTGTGTTCCTCCTGGAGGCTTTTGGGAATCATCTATTTCCTTATCTTTTGCAGCTTCTAGAGGCTGCCAGTATTTTTTGGCTCATGGCCCTGCCACACTCTTAACCCCTGTGTCTGTTGTCACATCTCCTTCTCTGCCTCTCCTGCCTCCTTTTCCCCCCCACTTATAAGCACCCTTATGATAACATTGGGCTCAATTGGATAATCCAAGTTACTCTCCCCATTATATATCTTTATTCACATAATCAAAATTCCTTTTGCTGCATGAAGTAACATATTCACAAGTTTCAGGGATTAAAATGCAGACATCTTGAGGGGATTATTCTGACTGCCCCAATAACCTACTCTCTGCCACATCCCCCCCCTCCCCCGCATTCATATTTATTCATGGAAATAAGACAAAACCTAGGAAATGATCCTATGTTTATTCACGGACATGAAGACAAAGCATTTGTCTTTCTTGCACCCATCTTCTACCTTTGTTCAGAATCACAGAGAGCTGCAGCCTGTAACACAACTGCAGTGGCCTAAAGTTTCTGTTTCCAGATAAAAGATTATTAGGGCATCATTTCCCCTAAAACTGGCATATTATTGTACTAGCTGATCATTCACTCACCTCTTTCTGTTTCTTGCCCCTGAGGGCCACATTGCTGATGTTGCTGCTCTCCCGGAGGGAGTCCACAGTATCCCCATACAGCAGCTTGATGGCCCTGACCAGCCGGGCACAGGAGCGGCTGTGGTGCAGGTAGCAGTGAGGGTGGCAGTAGTCCACGTGGGTGCAGATAAAGCTTTGCTGATTGCACAGCAAGATCATGACCTGGAACACAGACATCACGGAGACTCAACCAGGCAGCCAGAGTACAGACAAATGGGAACATACATGTGGGGTGGGAGATGGAAAGTCAGAATGTCAACTTTCCTTGGAGTCTTGGAACCACAATGACTCAATAATTCCCACAAGAGAACAAAGAGTAAGAAGCCTTTATGTACTTGGCTTCCTTTGCTCCCTCCATTCACAAAAGATGTTTTTGAAACAATAAAAGTTTAAGTGATCTTCAAAAACTTAAAAAGATTATTATGAAGACTATGATTTCTATATACTTCCAAATGAAGATTCTGAACTTAAAATATCTTATTATTTTAAATTCTTATGTTGTGGAAGGAACCAGATAGAAGAGCATAAACTGACGAGAAGTTCTGTCCCAAAAGACTTGGCTGACCTTTGACAGCTGTAAATGGTCTTTAACTCCAGCCTCCCTTCATGGGACTTGAACACATTTCTGCATCTTCTACCCTGAGCTATAACCTCCACCTGGGCCTTGAACTCTACTGTAGAGTTTTATTTCCTTTCTCCACAAACTAGTATTTTTCTTTGTCTTTTGGGTCGTCCTAGCTCTTCACTTGTCGCTTCATCTGGCTCAAATTCTCACACCTCCTGGACTTCCTAAGTAAGATTCCAGAAAAGAACTCAGTTGATTTAAGAATATAGTTATTTTAAGGTAAGGAATGAACGGTTCAGTTGTCTTCCCCAAAAGGCAGTAGCATTCCTAGAGCCACAAGGTTAGTCAGATATGCACAGAGTGATCCTCTGAATGCTTCTACCCTTCCTGAAACCAGCTCCCACCCCAAGCCCTTCCCTGGGAGAGACTATGTGCCATACTGGGTGGAGAGCATGATGTAAGCCTACATGAGGAAGGCCAGGCCAACCTGCTAGGTGGGGATAGCCCACAGCTCTTTAGGGATAAGAGGCTTCGCTTATTCTGAGACAAAGAAAAACAGTAATAACCTTCAACTTCCATACCCGTCAAACACAGCTATCAATGCCTCATACTCATCAAAGTTCTTAAAAAATGTGTTTCCTGAGCAGAATATCCATCTCTCTCCCAAGGTTCACTAAATATGCCTGATATTCCTACTGATACTGGTATAAGGTGGGGCACATGTAAGAACTATAAGGTTTCCCTTGTCATTCTCAAATCTGGTTGTTTAAGAGAAACACCAAGAAAGCTTAACAACAACAACAAAAACCCATACAAAACAAAAACAAACAAAAAACCAACAACAAGTAAAAAAACAAAAACATGAACACATTACTGAGTTTAGTTCTTTAGGAGATCCAATTTAGTAGATCTGGGATGGAGGTGGAGGTGACCTAAAAATGTATAATTTTAAAATTCTGCCCAGGGATGTCCCTTGGGTGACTGTTTTCTCTTCTAGGAATTTGTTGATTGTGTAAGGCCAAGCAGAAACCAATTGACAAAGCACAGTGAAGATTCTGGCAATTTCACTGTGATATGTAAACAAAACTAGAGTTTCTGATCCATCAAGAATGAGGGGCCCTAGGACATACCTAAAATTCCCACAGAGAACCTCAAAAGGCTTCATATTAAGAAGTGTGTATGTGGGGAAAGGAAGAGATAGAAATCATACAAGTCAAGTCAGCTTAGTTCCTGATTGGACTGAGGTGATATTGTTTGCTGTCTGCCAGAGGATAGGGTGAATCATCTCTGGAGTAGTTAAAAATCATCTGGAGCCTCTATAATTCTATAATTTCTAAAAAATTTAATAAACTCTGTTTGAGAGCAGTTTTAGGTTCACAGCAAAATTAAGCAGAAGGTACAGAGAGCTCCTGTATATCCCCTGCCCTCACACATGCATAGCCTCCTTCATCATTAACATTTCCACCAGAGTAGTGCATTTGTCACAATCAATGAATCTACACTGACACATCATTATCACCCAAAGTCCACAGTTTACATTAGGGTTCTTTTTGGTGTTGTATATTCTATGGGTTTTGATAGATGTATGACATGTATTCATCACTGTACTTCTATGATTTTTCATCCATCATATTTAGTACTCAATGAAATGGCTAAGCGTATAAAGGGGCAGGACCAAGAAAAGATAATAAATTTATATATTGAGTTATCAGGCACGGACTTTAAAATACCTATAATCAATTCTGATAAAAATGTGACTTAAAACATATTTTAACTGAATGAGCATATGATGTATCAAGCCTTGTGTGATACAGCTAAAGCTGTTTCTAGAGAACAGTTATAGCATTAAATGACTGTCAGCAAAGTGACTGAAAATCAGTATGTAAGTATCTATATCAAGAAATTAAGGAAATAAAACAAATTGAACTCAAAAAAAGTAGAAGGGCCCAGCCAGGGATGGCTCAGCGGTTGAGCGTAGACCTAGGATTCAGGCGATCAGGGTTCGATTCCCGGTCAGGGCACATGCCCGGGTTGTGGGCTGCAGCCGATCAATGACTCTCTCATCATTGATGTTTCTATCTCTCTCTCTCTCTCTCCCTCTCCCTTCCTCTCTCTGAAATCAATAAAGATATATATTTTTTTAAAAAAGTTGAAGGAAGTAATAAACAATAATAGCAGACATTAATGAAACAAAAATCAAACATTCCAAAAAAAAAAAAAAAATCAAAACCAAAGCCAAAGGCTGATTCTTTGTCTTATAAAATTGACAAACTTTTAGTAAGATTATCAAAAAAAAAAAAGAGAGAGAGAAGATATAACCTACCTATATCAGAAAATATAAAGGCACATCAATGTAGATCCTACAGAATTTAAAATGGCCTTAAGAGAATATTAGAAATACATTTTTGTTAATAAATGTGAATACTTGGATTAAATTAACAAATTCCTAGGGGCAAAAATCAATTTAGTAAACTGCTCCCAGAGGAAACAGAAAATCTGAATGGTCTTAAACATATTACATAAATTGAACCTATAATTAAAAAACCTCCCTACAAAGAAATTTTTAGGTCTAGAAGGTTTCATCAGTGATTTCTTCTAAATATTTAAAAAGCATTTAATTGTTATTAGTTTAAACACACTTCCAGAGTGTTTGTTTGTAGAATACCACAAAGAAAACTAAAAAGCATTATTAAAGGAAATTTAAGAGGTCCTAAATAAGTGGAGAGACATAAATCAATGGAGAGATACACCATTTTATACTTGGGAAGACTCACTATAATACAAATGTCAATTTCTCAATTTCAATGGTCTTTATATTGAATACAAGGCTGCTTTGGAAGCTTTTTTATGGAAATCGACAAGGTGATTCTAAATGGAAATAGGCCTAGCCAAGAAAAGATCAGACTGTCTAGAAGAAAAACAAAGTAGGAGGACTTATACTCATATAAGCAATAGAAACAGACACGACAGAGTATCTAGCATATGATGTAATTATATACATTTAAAAAACAGACAAAATTACTCTGTGGTGTTAGAAGTTACAATAATGGTTACTGCTGGGGAGGGGTAGTAACTGGTAGATGGTCCGTGTAGGGCTTCTAAGGTGTTGCTGAGGTTCTTCTCCACCTGCGAAAATGTACTGAGCTACATACACACATAGGTTTTGTAGGCTTTTCAATACATAGGTTGGACTTCACTAAAAAGTTTACTTTAAAAACAGCTGCCTCAGAAATCCTCAAAATCAGGCAGTTCTGGGGACTACTTCAATAGTGAAGGTCAGCACTGCAAAGTCTGAGAGCACCATGCGCCAGCCAGCCCTCATCTGATCCTACCCCAAACTCACACTAAAACCTGATGAGGTGGTGACAGTCCATATCTAAGATCAAGGACAGTGCTGGCAGTACCTTGCCAACTGTGGACCCAATGCTTTGTTTCCTTACCTTTCTCCTTTCTTCATGGCCAGCTCAAACCTGGAACTCCAATCTATGCTCAGTTTCCTTGGATCCCCTCCTGCCTGTGTCCGCTGGCTGGCCCTTTGAAGTGCAACCTTCTTTATCTTAGAATCTCCAGGTCCTCATTTACAATTCAATCTAATACAGACTTGAGACTGACACCACGACCTTGCTCTCAGCATGTGTAATAACCTGTATAAAGCTGGTCATGATGGCCTGCTTGCCTGCGTCACTCAAGCTGTGTTGACCACCAATCTGACCTAGCTACTCATGGTTTTCCCCAAGTTATAGTGACCCAAAAGGCAGCCATAATAAAGAACCCTTGGTCTAAGTTAAACTTAAAAGGAATATTATCCTGCAGAATACCAATCCTAGTGAGTGCCAAGAGGTTCAGCCGCAATATGAGCCTCTGGCTTTTCTTGGAGACTAAGTCAGATTGATGGCTTTAGTATAGATTTTTGTCCTATCATCATGGACCTTTCCCAAGGCTGAAAGAATCCCAGGGATTTCTGAGATTCCTACTTACATGAAGCCATGACATGTTCCTGTGGTAATTCTCCTCTGTGCCGGCTGTACTCATTCCTTCTGGCTCGATACTGGGCTCACTCGCACTCCAAGGGCTCCCTTCTTCAAAAGAAAAATACCAAGAGAGGTTGTATTGTTCAGTCTCCTTGGAGAGCACGTTGGTGTGGTATAGTTCTCCATGCTTTTGAATCCTAGGGCAGACTACCGTGGCCCAGTGGCTTTCAGGGCATAGCATTGATTTTAGTGGAGGAATATTGATGGGAGCTGTTCCCTTCGCCACCAGCTGAACTGGCAGTTACAAAGACATTTATGACCTCTGTTATGTGGCTTCCATTCTGAGACATGGGAGCAGAGAAAAAACAGAGTCAAGTCCTTGAATTGCTGAGATGAGCAAGTGATTGGTCAAGTGTGCCCAGATCCTTTCCAGGCTGCCCAGATATAGTTAAGCAGGGACACCAACCAACCTGCAATGGCCACAGAGTGCTACTGCCCCCCCACTGCTGGGACTATGGCTACTGCTACTGTTCCTAACGCCACCTGGCTTTGCTCTCAGTTATTTCAAAGCTGCGCAGGTGCCTTGGAAAAATGAAGGGAATTTGGAAGCAATTGTGTCTAACTGTGGACAAAAGGGTTTCCTTCTGTGGGAAAGTATGAAGGAGACACCTCTCAGGAATGCACTACCTTAGTGTAATAGACAACGAAGCTTTGCCCTCAAATCTAAGAGCTTTTCTGGACCTTTACTATGACAAAACCATGTGTCTAGCCTGGCTATTTCAACTCAACTGGTCAGGCTGAATTGACCAATTCAAATAATTGAAAAACTTCCCCCAAACCTAACTGACGATATTGCTATAGTTTCAGACCTATAGCAAGTCACAGGTTTTCTTCTATTGTCTTCTTAAAACATAAGCCGAATCTTAAGTAACACATAAATTAGCTATTTTCAAAGGCTAGGGTGCGTAGGTATAGAAATATTTCCTGTTTTAAACTCACTTTGATGAGATATACTCAGCTTCTACATCAGCAGACTTTATTGGAAATCTACCCACATTTCCTGGCTGGCTTCTGAAACGACTTACCTAGAAAGGAGAGCTTTCTCTTTTGCTTCTCACAGAGGGACTGAATGGCAAAGGAAGTGTTACTTCAACTTGTACTTAATAGTTAAACTCTAGGCAGCCGGGGAGTCTTATCTGCATGCCTGCTTTGTCTTCATCCTTCATCCTTCATCCTTCATCCTTCATCCTTCCTACTAAGGTGGCAACCAGAGCCCAGGTCTAACACATTTGGGGATTCCCAGTCTCTTTGAATCCTACAACCCCAATGCTCTAAATGTACATAGGCCTCACCCTCTGGTNCTTCATCCTTCCTACTAAGGTGGCAACCAGAGCCCAGGTCTAACACATTTGGGGATTCCCAGTCTCTTTGAATCCTACAACCCCAATGCTCTAAATGTACATAGGCCTCACCCTCTGGTCAGGTATTTAACCCACTTTAGAGTCACCCCTAATTTTTTAGAGCATCCCTTCAGGGTAGGCATGGAGTAGATGGAATTACTCCCATCATTTAGTTGAAGAAAACAAATTCCCAAGATACCAACTTGCTGAAGGTCACGAATTATCAGCTCTAGACAATAGCTCCTCTCTGATGTTTTGGTTGCTTTTAATGAGACTTTAAAACATAGAGGAACTTTAGCTAGCGGTCCCCCAGGGAATACCTATGTTTTGCTTAAAAGGTCCTGATCAGAAGAAACATCTGGATTTCAAAAACTGCCCTTGTCATTAAAGTATTTGTTCTCCCAAATATACACTCAATGTCCTCACTGCTGAAACTGCGGTCCTTGACCCAGCAGCATCGGCTTCACCAGGGAACTTGTTAGGCATCTAGACTCTCAGGCTCCCACCCCAGACTGAGTCAGAATCTGCATTTATCACGACTCCCAGGTGACCCATGTGCACACTACAGTGTGAGCAGCCCTGCTCTAGAGGGTGGTATGGTTTTCAAACTCAGAATGATCCAGCCTGTGGCTCTGCCCTCCACCTTTTGATGCATAAGAACATGTATTTCAGCTGTTTCAGGATTTGGGCCCTGTCTTCCTACCCCCCGTGTCCCTGCACACCCCACTCCTCTATGTTACCTAGGTCAGTGACAGTGTCCCTGCTCTGGGACAGCTGCAGCTCCTCAGCCTCAGACTCTGAGTCCTGCCGTGATAGCTTGCTGCTCTTTAAGCTGCCGACCCGGAGAATGCTGGACAAGGAACCCCCCTTCTTCACCTGGAAACTGCGGGTTCCTTTAATCTGGAGCAGGCGGGAACCTCCTATCCTGATCTTCCTGCTGGGAACTGTATTGAAAGAATAAAATAGGGCTTTTTCCCCTTTAGTTTTCCCCAGCCAGTGTGAGATCCAAGCTCTCCCCAACTTGTTCCTGAACAGCCTCCTCTCTGTTGGCCAGGATGGGCAGCGTGTCTGGACAAGGAGCTTCTCCCAAGCCCGCAGTCGGGCGCCTTTGCTGGGCAAACAGGAGGCTGGGTCCACCAGGAAGGGCTGGTGCAGCTTCTTTCTTGGGCACATAGCTCATGGGTGCTGGGAACAACCTGCTCCCTTTCTGGCCCAGGGTTCACAAGCATGAGTGTGCCCTCGCAGCAGCATTTTCTAGGACTGTTAGTACATTTACATAACACGGTTGCTCCATTCAACAGAAACACAGACCACCTGTTTTTGTTTTTCTTTTGAAATGGGACTTGTGGAATTATGTGAGTTACTGAGAGTTATGTGATTTAACATAACTCAGAGTTATGTGAATTACGTAAACCCCTTCATTTTTGAATACCTCATCAAGAAACAAAAACAAGAGGTGCTTCTCTCTCCAACAGCAGCAGTGGGTTCCGCTCAGCTCCTCAGCAAAGGCACTAAAGGATCTGTTCTCACTGGGGTGTTTTGGGTGAACGTGAGTGGGAAATGGTTCCATTTTCAATGCACCTACTGATTTCATAGCATCCTCCTTTCAGTCAAAAGGCTGGGTGAGATGTGAGTCCAAATGTTGCAACACCCTGAGCCAACCTTACAGTCTACATCTACCAAGAAGAACATGCATTATTCATCCTTAGTGTTCTGGAAGAAACAGTCATCAGTGAGGGAAATAAAAGGGTAAAACAACATGTTTAAACTTGAAACCCACTTTTTAAAATCAAAAGCATCCTTATTTCCCGTAGTCACAGACAAATCTCTTTGTTTTCCTTTTGAAGATTTGGTGTTATCACACATTGATTTTGTAAGGGTGGAATAAAGAAAGTTTTCAGAGCCTAAAGTCATTGTCAAGAAGGGGTCACTTTTGTAAGGTTTCCTTATTAAGACATGAACCAGATTTCAAGCTAATTATTTACAACATTGCGATTAAGATTACCTAAAGTCCCTAACAGGAATATTGCACTTTAGTCTCAGGTTTCTCACTCACAGGAGAGTTAATATGTGATTGTCACAGAGCTCACACAGCTCTGTAGGATGTTAATTAAATGAATACTTTCAATGCCCAGAATAACTTCTGTTGAATAATGTGAAATGTTTAATCTCTGATTTACTCTTGTGATTGAGAAAGATGAAAATTGTCGCCACTCAGCTGGCAAAGATCTTGTGGAGCTCACTGAGCACATCTGGATAGAAGTGTACATCTGAATAAAAATTCTTGCAGCACAGTTGGGTAAATTCCATAAAGACTAGAGACTATACTACTCTCTTTTAATTATAGCACAAAACTCATCCACTGCATTTTTTCAATATTATTTTTAGGCTTGATTGAGACTTTATGACCTACCTGAAATAAATTTGAAATAGAATATAATTATCATTTTTAGTGATTGTTAATACAATTTCATGTCAAAGTAGACTTGGAAGTAGAGAAAAATTAGAGGTATTTTTTTTTTTTAATTTGTACAGAAGCACACTTGAGTATTTTTTGCCTGATTTCATGATACAACCTGTTCTACCACCAAAGGTAATTGGAGACAGCACTGAGAAATTAGTGTTCAGAATTATGGCATTGAGTTAAAAAAGGGAAAAAAAGAGAAAGAACTCATGGACACAACAGTGACTGTGGGGGAAATAGGGGTGGGGGAGGTGGGGGAGGGTTTAGAG